GTAGCTTTAAGTTCTTCACTGACTCGTAGCTTTAAGTTCTCCACTGACTCGTAGCTTTAATTTCTTCACTGACTCGTAGCTTTAAGTTCTCCACTGACTCGTAGCTTTAATTTCTTCACTGACTCGTAGCTTTAAGTTCTCCACTGACTCGTAGCTTTAATTTCTTCACTGACTCGTAGCTTTAAGTTCTCCAATGACTCGTAGCTTTAAGTTCTTCACTGACTCGTTGCTTTAAGTTCTCCACAGACTCGTAGCTTTAAGTTCTCTAGTGACTCGTAGCTTTAAGTTCTTCTACACTGACTCGTAGCTTTAAGTTCTCTACTGACTCGTAGCTTTAAGTTCCTCTTCACTGACTCGTAGCTTTAAATTCTTCTTCACTGACTCGTAGCTTTAAGTTCTTCACTGACTCGTAGCTTTAAGTTCTCCACTGACTCGTAGCTTTAAGTTCTTCTACACTGACTCGTAGCTTTAAGTTCTTTTCCACTGACTCGTAGCTTTAAGTTCTCCACTGACTTGTAGCTTTAAGTTCTTCTACACTGACTCGTAGCTTTAAGTTCTTCTACACTGACTCGTAGCTTTAAGTTCTTCTACACTGACTCGTAGCTTTAAGTTCTTCTCCACTGACTCGTAGCTTTAAGTTCTTCTACACTGACTAGTAGCTTTAAGTTCTTTACTGACTCGTAGCTTTAAGTTCTTCTACACTGACTCGTAGCTTTAAGTTCTTCTACACTGACTCGTAGCTTTAAGTTCTTCTACACTGACTCGTAGCTTTACGTTTTTCTCTACTGATTCGCAGGTTTAAGCTCTTCTCCGCTGATCCGATTATCTGTTGCATGCCCGATTATTGTGTTACATATATAGCCCTTAAAAAAAACCCAACTTTCAATTAACTTTCATTTTCCAGGGCAAGTAGGAGACTGGAAAAACTGGCTCACAGTTGCTCAAAGCGAGGCTGTGGAGGAGAAGATGAAAAAAGTTGGACGGGACACTTTTTTCTCAACTAAATCAAAGATACACTTTATAACTTACGAAACTATTAATTTAGCTATTTATTTGTATTATCTTTGCATCATAGGAGAAGGTTTTTTTTACAAGCTTTTATTTAACTTGCTTCCTCTGTCTGTCGACAGTCTGTCGTCAGTCTGTCGTCAGTCTGTCGTCAGTCTGTCGTCAGTCTGTCGTCAGTCTGTCTAGATTGAAACGCCCGAGCGAAAATTCGGACAACTGTAACTGACAGATTCGGTTCACAGTTGGCACGTGGGACAAGACATGAAGACAATGCAATCTGAAATTAAATTTGACTTAATTGGATGCCTAATTAATTTTTATGAATTAATGAAAATTTTGACCAAATTAGTAGGCAGTTCTATCCAGCTACTCCACACGCGTCATCATGTTCAATAGCGCGTCATCACGTTCAATAGGCGCGCAATGGTTTTTAGTCATGTAACTCTATTGTAAATAAAAACATCTAAAGTACTAAAAAAAAGTCATAAAAAAACATTTTAATAACAAGCTTTTATGTAATAATGCACTAAAAGTAGAAAATAAATTATACACTACTATTTAAATTACTATAAAGAAAAGCGCGGGTGAGATGCGTAGCGAGGGGGGTACATATGTCCCCGGGCGCCGACCTTAGGGGGCGCCAAAATGGGTTGGAAAAACAAATTATAGTTTGTGGGGGGTGCAAATCGAAAGTTTGAGTGGGAGGGGGCCGCAAATCGAAACTTTGCTCCCGAGGGGGCGCCAAATTGAAAGTTTGTCCCCGGGCGACGGAAAGGGTCGCTACGCCTCTGGCTTGGGTCTCTTCCTAAATATTAGTAAAGGTATCCAATAGATACTAAATTGGCCCACTTCGATCAAATGACTAAACCGATTAACAGTCAACAAGATATTACACAAAACATTGGTATAACTGGGATTAGTATAGGCAGAGGCGAGCGAGAGGGCGGGGGGGGGGGGGGTGCGGACCGCACCGGGTGACACCATTTAGGGGGGTGACACCAAGGCAAAAAATAGCAAAATATATAGAGAAATCTTGAGGGGGGTGCAAATCGAAAGTTTGAGGGGGGGGGTGCAAATCGAAAATCTGAAAGTTTGTCTTTACGCCTCTGGGGGGTGACACCATTAAGTGCCGCACCGGGTGACACCCGACCTCACTACGCCACTGAGTATAGGGAATAAACTGGGATATAATACTGTTTTTATTGTAGAGAAAATATTTTAAGTTATTTTACTTAGCCTCCGTACAAAAGCAATATCATGCCGAATGTTATTTTGAATTAAATTGTATAGTAATTTAATCAACTCCATTGCCTAGAAAGAAAGATTTATATCAAATATTTAAGGACTAAAATTGTTTAATAAACAAACTCAATTATTTATTGTGTTTAATACTTGTTTTTCTTTGAACTAATTCTTAAAATTGTTTAATAAAGAAACTCAATTATTTATTGTTTTACAATTGTTTTTCTTTGAACTAATTCCTAAAATTGTTTAATAAAGAAACTTAATTATTTATTGAGTTTTAATACTTGTTTTTCTTTGAACTAATACCTCCGACATCTTAAATCTAGTTTATCGGGAGCAGAGGCGTAGCGACCCCTCCCGGCGCCCGGGGACAAACTTTCGATTTGCACCCCCCCTCGAACTTTTCATTTGCACCCCCCCCTCAAACTTTCAATTTGGCGCCCCCCTAAGGTCGGCGCCCGGGGACATATGTCCCCCCCCCCCTCGCTACGCCTCTGATCGGGAGATCTAGATACATTTATTGTATACTCAAATTAGAAAAGCTGTCAAACTTATCCTATACAAATAGCAAACAGAATTAACTTTAAAGCTAAAGACGGCATAACATTATGCTTTAAACTACTTTGAACATTTGAATGAGCTACATAGTCTTCCATGAAGGCCGCCATGTTTGTTGTGAAAATAAGTAAATCTGGTATTTCAAAAGAAACTCTAAATGTAGACAACGAAAAACAAAGGAAGGACAAATCTGGCATCCTTAGTGGTTCCATATTTAATGGTTTATCTCTCTTGGGGGGTCAAAGCATCTAAAATGAAAGTGAAACTGGAGTTTCAACGAGAAGTAACTAGTATGGATTTTATACACAAGCCATCATGCACGGCTATATTTAGAAATACTTCCTCTATTCTATTCGACAAATATTTTCAAAACATTGAAAAAAAAAGAAAATAGTAAGCGCATGCATCTGCCAAGTAAAGAGAGTTGAATTTTATGTTAACAAATGATGAAATAAAAGGGAGATAACTTTAGCTTTCTGCTCGTCCACCTTATTTGTTGGCTGGTTTCCCTAACAAAGGTGATAGCATTTAGAGCAGAGTTTCTTAGAGGCATCTCTTCGGGGAAGTGAAGGGAGGGTGATGGCGAGCCCCCCCCCCCCCCCCTCCCCGTAGAAAGTCTATCACCCCCCCCCCCCCCATCTGAACGAAATGGAATTCATAAAGAAAATATATACTCTCGACAGTGTCCGCCCCTCCCTCTAAAATTTTAGTTCGTCCCCACCCCCCGAAAATTTCAATAGCCCCGACCCCGAGAAAAAAGTCTGGAAGAAACACTGATTTATAGTTAGACAACATAATTTGATGGTGTGTCCTTTAGTTTTGAACATCATTATCAGCTTGTGTCAAGAGCAATATTTACCAAAAATAAAAAATTAAAATAAATAAATTAAAAAAAAAAACAACGAGGGGAGGGGGATAGGTAATTGTAAAGATCGTAATTTCGTTAATAGTAAAATGCGGCACAATTTGAACAGTTTAGAAAATGGAGGGGGGGGGGGAGGAAATGTAGTTACAGTGGGATGAATGGCTTGACTCTGCTACTTCTTGTGGTGAACTGTGTGAGGTATTGTGTCTACTGTTGTTTTTTTGGAGGGGGGGGAGGAAATGTAGTTACAGTGGGGTGTCGTTTAGCTTAGTGAAAATGTGTTTGTTTGAGTTATTTCTCTTTAAAGGGTCTCGTCGCTATCGTCTCGTGGTCCCTAAGGTCGTATGCTCTGTGTGTTGTTAGTGTAGTTCTGTCACAGTAGCTCAGACATTCCACGAGTTTCTCTGAGCTGTCAGTTGAGTTTGTCACGTCCTATGCTCTTAAAGTTATATCCTTCATTGACAACAGAAAGGACAATATTTGTTCATGTATGTTGCATAACATCACATAACCGCCTACAGAAGCTCCATTCTTAGATAACGATACACTCATGAAGGGCATATTTTCAATTTCGTATGTACCAGAAAAACCGTCAACATTTGACCAATTTTGAAATAAAAATATTGATTTAATTCATAACGTAACCTATTATCGATATTTGCTCCCTTCCGGGCCATGGGGAAACATATGTCCAATGCTTTATCTAAAAAACTATTAAAGATATTGGCAAAACATTAACAGTTTTGAATTCTACGTCTCATTTTACTACTAGATGGGTGCTGAGATATTGAAAATTATGCGCGAAATCCTTATGGTCCTGAAGGGGTTAGGTTGTATCCAGATTCTCTATTGAGTTTTTTTTTAAACCTAGACGTACTAGGAAAAATGATAAACTAAACCTGGAACAAATAATCACGAAGGAATCATTTTTTTTTACTGACAGTTCTTTGAACACAGTGATGATGTACAATTTTTTGTTCACCAGTAAAATGTATACAAAAGTTAAGCAATTGAAAACAAAAATCATATTTTATTTACGTTTTATTAAGAAGGGTTCGGTAAATGCGCAAATGAATATGATGGGGTTCGGTACCTCCAAAAAAAGGTTAAGAACCACTAAACCAGACCAAACAAACTTGCTCTACTCTAATCGGCTAACCTAAAAAAAAATTCGAATCTTTTGTAAGAAAAGTTGTATTTCTCGGAAAGTTGAGAAAAGTAGGTCATATGTTTCTGTTTACATCTTCGCGCTACTTGAGGATTTCTACCAAGCATTTCTTTTATTTACTTCTCTATTTACAACACATTGAAGGCTGGTGGTGTAGTTTTTGTGGAGATTTAGGCCATGAACCTAACCTGCTTGGTGTTGATTACGTGTCTGATACACATTTGCTACTCAGGTATGTGTTGAATTAATTTCAATTTAATAAAATACAATGTAGCTGCTTCTTAAAAAAATCTACAGCGTCAGTTATTGTAAGAAAGACAAATAATAAACATTAACACAACTAGTTGCATACTAATACTATTATTTGACGGAAAAAGTACAATATATTTCAGCCAATCGTTTTTAATGTACTTCATTATTGCGTGGATTTAAACATTCACGTAAACGTAATCAAAGAGTAAAAAGCTACACCGAAACTTTTCTCAATTACTTTAATGTCACGCTTGTATTATTATGCCCCCACTTTCTCATAGACCTGCCTCCGCTCTGCCTTCATCTCTTAAGACCTGCCCCAGCTCTGCCCTCATCTCTTAAGACCTGCCCTCATATCTCACAGATCTGCCCTCATCTCTGCCTTCATCCCTCACAGATCTGCCCTCATATCTCACAGATCTGCCCTCATCTCTGACATATCTGCCCCAGCTCTTACAGATCTGCCCTCATGTCTCAAAGATCTGCCCTCATGTCTCAAAGATCTGCCCTCATCTCTCACAGATCTGCCCTCATCTCTCAAAGACCTACCCCAGCTCTGCCCTCATCTCTTAAAGACCCGCCCCAGCTCTGCCCTCCTCACAGATCTGCCCTCTTCTCTCACAGATCTGCCCTCATCTCTGCCTTCATCCCTCACAGATCTGCCCTCATATCTCACAGATCTGCCCTCATCTCTGACATATCTGCCCCAGCTCTTACAGATCTGCCCTCATGTCTCAAAGATCTGCCCTCATGTCTCAAAGATCTGCCCTCATCTCTCACAGATCTGCCCTCATCTCTCAAAGACCTACCCCAGCTCTGCCCTCATCTCTTAAAGACCCGCCCCAGCTCTGCCCTCCTCACAGATCTGCCCTCTTCTCTCACAGATCTGCCCTCATCTCTGCCTTCATCCCTCACAGATCTGCCCTCATATCTCACAGATCTGCCCTCATCTCTGACATATCTGCCCCAGCTCTTACAGATCTGCCCTCATGTCTCAAACATCTGCCCTCATGTCTCACAGATCTGCCTTCATCTCTCACAGATCTGCCCTCTTCTCTCACAGATCTGCCCTCATCTCTGCCTTCATCCGTCACAGATCTGCCCTCATATCTCACAGATCTGCCCTCATCTCTGACATATCTGCCCCAGCTCTTACAGATCTGCCCTCATGTCTCAAAGATCTGCCCTCATGTCTCACAGATCTGCCTTCATCTCTCACAGATCTGCCCTCATCTCTAACAGATCTGCCCTCATCTCTCACAGATCTACCCCAACTCTGCCCTAATGAAGACAAGAGCAAAGTGATCTTCCTTGAGCCAGGCACACGTCAAACTGTCACCATCTGTGTACTGACCGATACGGTCAGTGACCTCTACCCCAAGCTAAGGATCGCTGGCCTGATCTTCAATCGGGAGATGGAGGACATGTCCTACAGGTTTGACTGGCACAGGAAGGACATGTATAGCTGGCTGGCTAAGGCCAGGATCACGCTGACCTCTCTCACACAGTACCGGAAGCTGGATATTGTCCTGCTAGACACGCCCTCTAGAAGCCTGAGCTACGTGATACACATTAGGAGGCCAGAAGGTAGGTGGGAGGGGTGGTCAAAGAGTGAGAGTTGGTCAGGAATGGCCAACATTCTAAATAAAAATAGGCCCACTGTTTTAAAGAAATACTCCAACTATTCTAAAGAAATATTCCTACCAGTGGCGTAGCGAGGTCGGGTGTCACCCGGTGCGGCACTTAATGGTGTCACCCCCCCCCCCCCCCCAGAGGCGTAGCGATCCTTCCCGGGTACAAACTTTCAAGTTTTCAATTTGCACCCCTCTCTCAAGTTTTCGATTTGCACCCCCCCCCCTCTAACTCTCTCGATTTGCACCCCCTCTCAAGATTTTCTCTATATATTTTGCTATTTTTTGCCTTGGTGTCACCCCCCTAAATGGTGTCACCCGGTGCGATCCGCACCCCCGCCCCCCCCCCCCCACTCCGCCCCTGAAATCTTCTATTCTAAAGAAATAGGTCCACTATGATAAAGAACACGAACAGGCAGATGAAACATATTTATCTTCCTTTTTTAAGAAACCCTGCATACAATTCCTAGTAGTTAGTAATACATTTATTGACCGTGCTGGGAAATCGTGTAGAAAAAATAATAGTGCGGGTAATTTTTCTTATAAAATACTAAACAATGGTTTAAATACTCTTCACTTGACAACATTTTCATGTAAAACACATTGTGGTAGTAACGCCTCACCGCCCCCCCCCCTCCTCCTTTTTTAAATGCTGACTACAACTTAAATACCTTGTTTGCGTAGATAGAATTCGTGAATTGACTTCAACAAATTTCTAATAATAGTTTAAAGCCGCCGCAGTATTTCCAAGAACCATAACTGTAGGTTTTTCTTTTACTTATTTAAACGTTTAAATGTGCATTGTGCAACATCAGTAGAATTTTCCAACGCAGTTTATCTGTCCATGTGGTAATTCTTCCTCTTCTGCGTTCTTAATTTAAGGGTTGGAAAAAATTTCCTCCAACAGAATTAAGTATACGTGTCAACTGGTTATGTGTCATTTGGGCCGTTGACTTCGATTTCACCCTGCTTATCTTTTTGGATTTTCTCCCGTAGTCTTTGTCCTACCAACTACAAAGCAGCTGTTGTTTGATTTTGGAGTTATCTATCCTAGAAGAGTGGCTGTCGCCGGGTTTCGAGCCTAATCTGCCCGAGGGTTCGAACTCGAGACTTTTCGGTTTAGCAACCATGAGCTATACCGACTCGACTACGATGACGCCTTGAGTGGTAATAAAGGCGTACATCTGGTAAACGACCAATCAACTCCTTACATTCCTTTGCCTTAAACTATTAAAAAAAAGATCTGATTTCTGAAACTTGTTTTTTAGATCTGTACAACATCAACCTGACCATAGACACTAGTGGATCAAACACGGGTATCACGTGCTCAGCTCCAGGCTATGGCAGGAACATGGTCTTGTACAGAAAATTTTCCTTGGAGGTTTTGTCGCGGAGCGTAGTGGCCAATCACGAGGAGGGCGTGTCTCAGATCCGGTTAGACAGACAAACTTCCTGTCAGCTGATGGGCACATACGAATGTCAAGTTGATACACCACAAGGTCTTCGTGTAAAGGGTGAAGACCTAGTGATGGCAAAATGTAGGTCCTGTTTGCTTCGACGTTTGAAACTATGTTCTATTCGTGGATAACGTTTCAAGTTAATAATATAATTAGAATTGAGCAGTTTTTAGATGTGTATGAATGGTGTTGGAAAAAGGCAAAAATGATCTAATCATATATAGTAGGTGTTTAATATATGTATATATATAAACATATATAAACATATATAAACATATATAAACATATATATACATATATATATATATATAAATATATATATATATATATATATATATATATATATATATATATATACATATGTATACATAGATCTGTTTATGATATTCTTAAATATACACATTTTTTCTACTACATGCAGGCCCCCCTCAGCTCTGCAGCTCATTAAACACATCCGAAATTATTCCCTTCTTTGATGGTCAGTCGCTGATGATTAGTTTTTGCCTGATTAATTTCTCCCCATCCGATAATCTCATGACCTTAAACGGTGAGCAGATTGTCGTGTCCGGCACAGACGCACGTAAATATACAGCCGTCGTCCGGCGTCTGTCGTCAGAGTTGTACAGCAACATCAGTCTCGTCATACGAGAGCCTGTTCCAGCTGACATGAGAGAATACACATTGGAAGTTTGGGCAGCAGGGGAAGGCACTAGGTTCGTCAAAGAAGGGGAGAACACTACGTCTGTTAGAGGAGGGGAGAGCACTAGGATTACGTTTAACTTGGCGTGGGCTAACAAAGGTAGGTTGGGAAACTCGTTCTGTGGTTTGTTGTTATAGGAAGCCAGTTTTAAAAATCTGAAGCTGTAACATTTTTAGACACAATTTTAAATTAAAAATTGAAGAACGCAGTTTTTATTTTAGGTAGGTAACTGTGTCCTATAGTTAGGTAACTGGGTCATGTATTAGGTAACTGGGGCATGTGATTAGGTAACTGTCATTTAGATAGGTAAGTAGGTCATGTAAATAGGTAGCCGGGTAATTTAGTTAGGCAACTGGGTCATGTTGATAGGTGACTGGGAATTGGTTTTAAAGTATCGCTAGGTGAAGAGTGAAAAAACAATTAACAAACCACAAAGGCATAACGTAACTATGAGCTATATTTAGAAATGAAGTTGATATTGATTTTACTGAACAGCTGATTTTTCAACAGCTGGGCTATTAAATAAAAATCTCACAAACTCTCAGCTGAAGATTAGACGTGGCCATCCGTTTCTCTAAGGAAAATATATCTTTTTTAGGAATTGCTCAGATATCCATACGTTTCTCTAAGGAAAACATATCTATTTTAGGAATTGCTCAGATATTCATACGTTTCTCTAAGGAAAATATATCTATTTTAGGAATTGCTCAGATATCCATAAGTTTCTCTAAGGAAAATATATCTATTTTAGGAATTGATAAGACTTCCATACGTTTCTCTAAGCGAAACATATTTGTTTTAGAAAAAAGTTGAAAAAAACAACTTGTGGTTAATTCAAACTATTATTGTTGTGTAATGACTATAGTCAACTTTCCGCTGTATCAATCTCTAGAGTGTGTCTCGAGCCAGCAGACAGTCCTGTCAAAAGTCGGCTCCAGCCTCACTGTCCATCTCTGTATGTGGACAGTGCCAGAAAATCTGACACTTGCGGTCATCAATGGAGAAACGCACACGGTCAAGGTCGGCAATACGAGCACCACCCCCAGCCCCACCCCCAGCTCCAGCAGGGTAGTGGTCAGCTACAACAGGGGTCAGTTTCTGGACGGACACCCCTACGTCACGGTCCAGTGGCTAAAGCTGGAGCCAAGAGATTTCCAGACGTGGCTCGTGTACCTGCCAGAACTGAACTACACGTTCACATTTTCACTGGAACCTTCAGAAGGTAAGGGAGGGGTACAAATGTAAGACACATCTACCTGCTGTAATTACATGAGCAGTGGACAGCCCTTATAGGTAGATAGTAGCCTGGTAGATAGGGGATCCGGACGAAAGGCCGACATGGACAAAAGGCCGACATGGACAAAAGGCCGACATGGACAAAAGGCCGACAAGACAAAAGGCCGACATCCAAAAGGCCGACAAGACAAAAGGCCGACAAGACAAAAGGCCGACAAGACAAAAGGCCGACTGCCAAAAGGCCGACAAGACAAAAGGCCGACAAGACAAAAGGCCGACTGCCAAAAGGCCGACATCCAAAAGGCCGAGAAGACAAAATGCCGACAAGTTTTATAAAACAAAAAACTACAATTACAGACATGTTTAATATCTAAAATGTGTTATTATATACGACTGTTTAAGTTTCTCATTAATATTCTTAGTTACATACAATAGGATAAAATAAAACACACGATGCAACCAATTATTTGTAACCCATATATTTGTCCATATATAGGGAAATCACAGGGGCAAGTTTACAACAACAACAAAAAAAATAAATTATAAATTTTGGTACACTTGTACCACAATCACAATAGAATTAATTAATCCAGCGAATATAGTAAACAACTTTTTTTTTCACGCAATTCGCAATGGACGAAACTAAAATATAATTCAAAGTTTGTCGGTATTTAACATGTGGTCCAGTCAAGGCACGCGATTGTTCTACTGCTTTCGGTTTCTTTGATTTCTTTGCGAAATATGGTGGTAACGTCACCTATCTGTTTATCCTTTGTACACTCCCGTCATCTCCATTGTCCCCCTTATAAGGATCGCAACTAGCATGGTCTCTTCGCGTTCCACCTTGTTGCATGTGGGCGATGATGCCGGTGGCTTTTGACTTGGTTTTTTGATGATTGTCTCACCTCGTTGACATAGAAGGAGCTATGAAAGACAGCACTGACAGCATTTCGCAATATTTAGGTGTTGAACGTTTGTGTTTAAGACACTCCCGTAATCTCCAGTCGCTTGACCTTATAAGGTAGATAGATACCCAATGTAAGTGTAACAAAACGGTCACGCGTCCTATTTCAACGTTTTTAATTTTTAGAATATTTACAGCTCTGCTCACCTGACCAGCACACCCGGAAGTTCCAGACCACACCTGGCAGCCAGTTGACCTTTGACACGTGTGTCAGGTCAATGCTGGTCAACATGTTCTATGACTTTTACGTCGTCATCAACGGCACCCGGTACCCCACCCTCGGGTGTGGTGAGGACGGGAGGGTTTGCGTCACGTGGAGAAGGGGCGAGCTCGCGGAACTCACATTCACATTTTTTATCACTCTGAGAAACACGTCCGAGTCGGACTATGGTGAGCTGACGGTTTTTATCGGCCACCACAACCACCAACACGCCATCAACTTTACCATCCTGCTAGAGCCTACACGTGAGTTCATTAGCTTCTCATAATGTATAGAAATTTATTTCATCTGCTTTAATCCAATTTCACGTGATCTATTTATTTAACTTAGTCGTATTCACATATTCACGTGCGCGCACTTCTCACACCCGCAAATTACCTCCACCCACACGCAAATTACTACCACCCACTAGCAAATTACCACCACCCATACGCAAATCACCACCACCACCACCCACACGCAAATTACCTCCACCCACACTCAAATTACCACCACCCACACGCAACTTACCACCACCTACACGCAAATTATCACCACCCACACCCAAATTACTATCACATACACGCAACTTACCACTTTATACACTCGCAAATTACCACCACCCACACGCAAATTACCACCACCCACACGCAAATTACCACCACCCACATGCAAATTACCAATATACACACTCCAACTACATCACACAGACAACTCCAACATCAAGTGCCGCAGAATCTATTTACACGCTGCATGACGTAAAGTGGCCCTTCCACCCTGCCGCCCCACCCCCTACAGATTCACCAGACCGTGTCTACCTCCACAGATCCCGAGAAGTTCTCTAGCCGTGAACTCACTAGAGATAAGGACGTCTACATCATCATCTACGTTGTCGTCTGTCTGGTTGTCATAGTTAACGGAGTTGCTGTCGTCGTCGTGTTTAATGTGTATAGATGTAATGTTGTTTTTTTTATCTTCTCACACTTACACACATCAATACACACACATCAATACACACACATACACACATCAATACACACACATGACACATTAGCACCTCAATATACACAAACCCTCTCTCACACATTTAAGCACACACACATTTAAACATTCTCTCACACACACTGACATATACATTTAAGCACACACACACACCTGCACACGCAAACACACAAGAATGACAATACAAACATTTTCCTGTTAGATCAGATAGTTTTTTATAAGCTATGAATATAGCCTACTACAGATACAAACGTTTACAAATCTATTAACTTTTCCAGTACTTTGTTCTTCATCAGATTTTAACAGTGGCGTAGCCAGGATTGTCTCAAGGGAAGGGGGGAGGGGTCCAATTTTTACCCGGGGACAAACTTTCAATTTGCATCCCCCTCTCAAACTTTCGATTTGCACCCACCCCCCTCAACCTTTCGATTTCCACCCCCTCATACTTTTTATATATATACCGAGGGGTCTATGGGGGGGGGGGGTTATGCCACCCCCCCTAACCCCCCCCCCCTGCCTACGCCACTAAATTTTAAAAATGTAATCATGTTTTATGATCGGATGAAAAAGTAAAGTACAGTTTATCTGTGAGGATGATGTTACGGTCTGATATGGACATAGACTAGAGCGGGTATCTATCACCCGTCCTTAGGCTGGGGACAGTAACCAGTGGCGTAGCCAGGATCGTCTCAAGGGGGGTCCAATTTTTACACGGGGACAAACTTTCTATTTGCACCCCCCCCCCCCCCCCGTCGAACTGTCGATTTGCACCCCACCCCCCAAAAAACTTTCAATTTATACCCCCCCCCCCTCAAAATTTCGATTTGCACCCCCCTCATACTTTTTATATATATACCGAGGGGTCTATGGGGGGGGGGTGTTATGACCCCCCCTGCCTACGCCACTGACAGTCACATTTAGTATTGGTTTCAGCAACAACCAAAGCATGTGTCACATATAGTTAAAATTTGTTTTCTTTCAGCGAGAACAAAAGTCAATAGAAAACATTCCTACACACGACAAAGTGGAATCAACTTTCAAGAGGCAAATAACGATTACATGAACTCACGTGATACACCACGTGACCAGACACGTGACACGGCACCACCTTGCAGCTCCGCACATAGTCATGTAGCACCACTTGTAGACATCAAGCCGCCACTGTACCCATCAAGGTCGCTTCCTTCCCGACCAGGAACTTCACAGTCTGATACTGAGGGGCGGGGCTACAGCAATAGCAGGCTGAAACAACATCTCCCCTGTAACAATATCACTGGTCACGTGATAACCTACACAACTATAGCCATGACGACACCACTTTATAGCACACCACACCAGCCTCTCCCCGGCGATAGAATCATGCTCCCCACACGATCAAGACAAAGTCTGAGTTCCAGTAGCGAGGATGATGAGTCATCCTGCAGTCTCACACACTCCCGGCATTCGTTAGGAATAAACTCAGTGACCTCTGGATCTTGTCAACATGCCAGTAGTTCCCTAGCCTGTCAACATAACAGTAGTTCCCTAGCTGGTCCAAAAGCCAATAGTTCCCTAGCCTGTCAACATAACAGTAGTTTCCTAGCTGGTCCAAAAGCCAATAGTTCCCTAGCCTGTCAACATAACAGTAGTTCCCTAGCTGGTCCAAAAGCCAATAGTTCCCTAGCCTGTCAACATAACAGTAGTTCCCTAGCTGGTCCAAAAGCCAATAGTTCCCTAGCCTGTCAACATAACAGTAGTTCCCTAGCTGGTCCAAAAGCCAATAGTTCCCTAGCCTGTCAACATAACAGTAGTTCCCTAGCTGGTCCAAAAGCCAATAGTTCCCTAGCTAGTCAGCACGACAAAAGTTCCCTAGCTAGTCAACATGCGAGTAGTTCCCTAGCTGGTCCGCAAGTCACTAGTTCCCTAGGTGGTCAACATGACAGTAGTTCTCTAACTAGTCAAAATGCCGGTAACTCACTGGGCTATTCTAGAGTCAGGGATGGTCCACTACACCATTTGTTTACATCTGGTGAGAGTCTTGGCTACATCTCACTTCTGCCGAGTCCCACAGGCTCTGTTTGCTGGTGACCTCAGTGTTAGTATTTACATATTGCTTTGGTGAATAGGGCTTGTAAGTCTCTGTTTCTCTCGCTTATGGTTCGAAATCTCGTTAGCCAGGTAGATATATAAATTTACGAACTAAAATAAGTACTGTGAACATGATCTCATTTTGAAAATAAAAATATGGCGGCTATTTGTTTCTATGCCCCGTTTCAAGATTTTAAAATATCAAATGTACCCACATTTCTATAATTATTGCTATTGTACTAATACTAGAATCAAATTTAGTACTGTAGGCCGATGCAATTAATATTAAACTAATATTGCAACTACGTTTAGCATAACTTGTTAATTTTGCATTTGTTTATTTTTTACAGAATGAATCATATATATATATATATATATATATATATATATATATATATATATATATATATATATATATATATATATAAATATAAATATATATATATATATATATATATATATATATATATATATATATATATATATATATATATATATATATATATATTTGGTTTGAAAATACTAGCTGTCAAGTACGAGAACGAAACGTCGTTGGTGACCTATTTATAAACCCTATTGTAGTATAGATGTGCTAATTTGTTATCATGATGTGTTACTGTATTGTTATGATGACGTGTTTATATTTTAGCTCGTTATGTCTTGATCAGGGGCGGAAATATAGTACCGCCAGACCCCGCAATGCGGGGGGGCCCACGCCATTTAGGGGCCCACAGCCGACCATAATCAATTTTTTATTGATAAAAATAATAATTTTCGGGCATTTTTGACTTGATGGTTGTTTTGTAAAAAAGATTACCGTAGCTGCGGTTGGAGTATCTTTATTCTATAGACACCATCCCACGCTATTGTATATTCTCTTTCCCTTTGTTTTTAAACCACTGTGAAAGCCGAGTCCTCTTTCTCCTACAATCAAACTTATCAAAGATAAGCAAACGTTCACGCCACTTCCATTACTTATTTCCCTTTTTTTAAATAGTCAAATAGGAGTGCTCATAAGCTCCTTGTAATAGATTTGTACTAAACAAATTAAAAAGCAATTATTTCTCTGAATTATTATTTTTTTATAAAGTACTTAAAGAATGACACTGTATAAAAAGGAAATGTAATTAATATTAATAATATAAATTAAAAAAAAATAAAAATAAACATAACACGAGACACCATTACTTATACAAAGTTTTCATGGCTTATATTTTTTTGACCGACTAGAAGCTTAGAGGTCTTATAGCAGAGATAAAATAAAACCGATTTTCACAGAACACACAAATGCACTTACACACATGACATGTTGTTGTAATTTGTTTTAATTAAAAAAAACTTTTTTTAAAATTAAAACCCGAACAGGCCTGTAATGAGTATTCTATGTTCGTATTTTGTGTATATATATATATATATATATATATATATATATATATATATTATATATATATATATATATATATATATATATATATATATATATATATATATATATATATATATATAGGGGGGCCTAAAAAATTTTTTTTGCGGGGTGGCCCTTTTTTTCTAGTTCCGCCACTGGTCTTGATATGCTCATGTAGGGACATCTATACTATTGTGTCAACAAACTGCTGACAAATTACTTGAAGAAAACTGAGCAAGATAAAATAATACATGCCACTTTTTTTTCTATTTCAATTACATCTTTCCCCATGCTAGACGAGCCTCTCATAATTAACTGTTATGACTGGCATCATTAATTTTAAAACACGATCCAAGGCAGTGTTCAATTCTTTATTTGTTCACAGTCTTCACCCATTACACAGTAGGCCGTATTAGCTAGCTGCTACCAACAAGCCCCCTATAAATCGTTCACTCCGCTTTGTATACACGCATTCGACCTTGGGATAACAATACCTAAACACACCGGGTGAACTCAACTCACACACGCACCAAGTTCTACACTATTCTACCCTATTCTAACCTAACCTCCAAATGACGCGTAACATTAGCTACCAATCATTTTCTTTAAATAAAGAAACAACACTTGGCCGTGATGTAAAACAGCCTATTTATAGTAGTTGATCACATGACTGAAGATACAAGGTCAGTCAAACAGTGACCTTCACATTCCCTGACTGCACTCAAGTGTCTGACGTGAGCTAGAGAAGAACGATCTAGGGAGTGGCCAAACAAAAACAGCGCTTCCGTCTAGTGTGAGTCATTCTTATGTAGGTCAGTGACAAAATAGCTTTACACTTCTTGCTTACACTGGCGACTTCCGGTTAAATGTAGGGTTTCAGTGGGTGGATGGTTGGTGTACTGTACTGTTAGACTGGTCCCCATGTTTTGTTAACTATAAATTTACATTTGAAGACAACACTAGACTATTTCAACCAGTGGCGTAGCCAGGATCGTCTCATGAGGGGGGTGGGTTCAAATTTTTTCCCGCATTATAAATGTAGGCCTATATATCAGAGGCGTAGCGTCCCTCCCTGGCCCGAGGACAAACTTGTCATTTGCACCCCCCCCCCCCACCTCAGACTTTAGATTTTGCACACCCCGCTCAATCTTTTTGTATCTACCGAGGGGTCTATGGGCGGGATTCTGACCCACTCCCCCCTACCCCCCCCTGCCTACGCCACTGATTTAAACACACGGGAATGCAAATATGTGCAATGCTGGCTAAATTCCTTTTGATAAAACATCCATTGTGTTTGTGAATACGCTTTAAAAAATTAAATTTAAAAAAAAAAAACAACAAACTGCGTGTGTTTTTGGAAAAACACATACCACGTAACCAAATGTGAGAGTTGAAGTTTAACGCGATTCGCAGAAACCGAAACTATAAAGTTTAAACTGTTCGCAGTAACCGAAACAATAGACGTAACAATTCCCAGAAATCTTCAACAATGGAATTGGAACACCGAAGATTATGAGAGCAAATAGATAACATAATGTGAATGTTTATCACGTGACGTAGGTTTGAGGTGTGAGTGCAGCCTAGACCAACGGTCAGACGTGAAACTTCTAAAAGTGTTTTACTTTCAGTTTCGCTGGTTTTTCATACAGGAAATCTCGTAATTGGTCTAAGCGGTTACTTAGCATGTGTAAATCAGTAAAAGTATTGTACTTTCAGTTTCGCTGGCTATTGTACAAAACATTACGCCAATACTCCTAGATGTTGAGATCGAAAGGAAATAGAATTGACGGTGTTTAACATAAAATAAACTTCCTTAAAGATCATGTGAACCTGTGGGATCACTAAGTCGAGTAGATTAGGGTGTCACATGGTGTGGTAGATGGTGTTACAAGGTGTGGTAGATGGTGTCATATGGGGTGGTAGATGGTGTCACATGGTGTGGTAGATGGTGTTGTCACATGGTGTGGTAGATGATGGTGTCACATGTTGTGGTAGATGAGGGTGTCACATTGTATGGTAGATGACGGTATTACATGTGATAGATAATGGTGTCACACGGTGTGGTAGATGGTGTTACACGGTGTGGTAGATGACGGTGTCACATGGTGTTGTAGATGGTGTCACACGGTGTGGTAGATAGTGCCACATGATGTGGTAGATGAGGGTGTCACACGGTGTGGTAGATGATGGTGTCACATGGTGTTGTAGATGGTGTCACACGGTGTGGTAGATAGTGCCACATGATGTGGTAGATGAGGGTGTCACACGGTGTGGTAGATGATGGTGTCATATGGGGTGGTAGATGGTGTCACACGGTGTGGTAGATGATGGTGTCACATGGTGTGGTAGATGGTGTCACACGGTGTAGTAGATGGTGGTGTCACATGGTGTTGTAGATGGTGTCACATGGTGTGGTAGATGGTGTCACATGGTGTGATAGATGGTGTCACACGGTGTGGTAGGTGATGGTGTCACACGGTGTAGTAGGTGGTGTTACACGGTGTGGTAGATGATGATGTCACATGGTATGGTAGATAATGGAGTCACACGGTGTGGTAGATAGTGGTGTCACATGGTGTGGTAGATGGTGTCACACGGTGTAGTAGATGGTGGTGTCACATGGTGTGGTAGATGGTGTCACATGGTGTGGTAGATGATGGTGTCACATGGTGTGGTAGATGGTGTCACACGGTGTGGTAGATAATGGTGTCACACGGTGTGATAGATGGTGTCACACGATGTTGTAGATAATGGTGTCACATGGTGTGGTAGATGATGGTGTCACATGGTGTGGTAGATGGTGTCACACGGTGTGGTAGATAGTGCCACATGGTGTGGTAGATGAGGGTGTCACATGGTGTGGTAGATGGTGGTGTCACACGGTGTGGTAGATGATGGTGTCACGCTATGTGGTAGATGATGTCACCCGTTGTAGTAGTTGATGGTGTCACATGGTGTGGTAGATGGTATCACATGGTATGGTAGATGATGGTGTCACATGGTGTGGTAGATGATGGTGTCACATGGGGGGTAGATGGTGTCACCCGTTGTAGTAGATGAGGGTGTCACACGTTGTGGTAGATGAGGGTGTCACATGGTGTGGTAGATGGTGTCACCCGTTGTGGTAGATGGTGTCACATGGTGGGGTAGATGATGGTCTTACACTGTGACGTTGGTCTAGGCTGCACTCACACCTCAAGCCTACGTTACGTGATAAACAATCACATTAATTGCTAGAATTATTGATCAAAAATAAAAAAAAATATATAATTTGAAAAAAAAAAACAAAGTTTAGGGTTAGTTATAAACTCCATCCTATTTAATATTATATAATAATACTTTATGAGTTTTAATATAGATTCCTAAAAAAAAAAATATTTTTCAACTAGAGAACGCCTACCTATTTTCCCACGTTTTCTTTAACTTGCTTTCGCGTATGTTTGTTTGTTTGTTTGTTTGTTTGTTTGTTTGGTTCTCCAATCAAATCTTGCGATCGAAATTTCGGGCACTTCCCAGTTAGCTAGCGCGCTGAAATTTTCAGGGAAGCTTTGTTTCCGATGACAATAGAATATTCAATTGTTATTATTACTAAATTTATCCATGGAAACATTTTATTGATCATTTTAGACCACTATATATTTGTACAAAAAACGTGGGAAAAGGGGACATAACCCAGTCATTGTAATTTGATGAAAACAAGGTTCGGTACTCTCCCTCTTTTGTTTGGCTTACTGAGGTTTTGGTCACGCGGTGTTTGTGTACAAACAACCGGAACAACTGGTGGCCAGTATGGGGGAGACGATATGGTCGAGTGGTTGGGCACACGATTGCTAACCCACTCGACACGGGTTCAAGGCACGTGTTTTTTACTAGTTGTCTTCGTTTACCCAAAAAAAAAGTGAATGCGGAAAGATAAAGTCGATAGCAAGATTTTAATGCAAACAAACAGACAAAGACTAAAAAGTAGAAAATAATTATCATTAAAAAAGTTTTAAAAAAACCCACGTTTTCTGATTGAACTAAAAAGTAGAAAATAAATGCTATACATCACAATAATGCAAGCGATCACTCTACTATAAGCGATGGAAAAACGTGGGGCGCCGTGATTTTCTTACAGTTTCTAATACTGTTGACTCTCTACAAGCTCCCTAATATAAGTCAATAGTATTATCTAATCAATAGTAATATAACTTTTACTTCGGCGCCCCACGTTTTTCATCGCTTATAGTAGAGTGATCGCTTGCATTATTGTGATGTATAGCATTTATTTTCTACTTTTTAGTTCAATCAGAAAACGTGGGTTTTTGTAAAACTTTTTTAATGATAATTATTTGTAGTGTGTTCTGTACTGAATTGAAGTCATCTAACTTACGATAAACTCGACTACTCGATATACTCTACAACACATATCAAACTTCGATAGCTAAACATAACGATACTCGATGCTCCAGAACTACGACTCGTTTAACTTCACCATACTCTTCAAACGGTAATCCCAATCAACAACGATTTCACTGGACCTACTACTACACTTTAACAGTCAATATAATTCGATACCTTAATACCACAAGAATCAATAGTCCCGGACTCGAGAACTACGATACCTCATCACCTGGATTCTCATTTCTCTATTTTCAGTTAGATTCCACTAGACCTTCAACTACAAAACAGCCGAATAAAAATTATGACACTTTAACACTTCGATACTTTATACCTACGAAACCATATCAGCAACTGCCTTCCGTCGTTGCTTCCAAATCTAAACGACTCATCAAAACTTACCAAACAAGTACAATACTTTGAACACCCCGTCATTACAAAACTCTATACACCACGACCGATTTCTTATTCAAAGTCAGAGAAAACGAGACTTACAAGCCCTTTTAAAATTAGATAACCATATGAAATGTTCAAAATTTAAATAACGAACTTATTTAATCGGTTTCTACAATAATTATGTGACACTAAATTAAAAAGGCTAAGTGACTGATAAAAAGCGCAACGACCTTTCCAAATTAGGGAGATGGGGTTGCATTTTGACTATCGCGAATAACTATAGGCCTATATAGATTTGATTTTGGGGTGGGGGTGCAAAATTGATAGTTCGTCCTGGGTGCCGCAATACCCTTATAAAAGTTATTAATTATTAGGTACTTTTTTGATAAAAGCGATTAAATATTTTGCGCCCCCCTAGAGATGGCGCCCTAGGCGATCGCCTATTTCGCCTTATAGGTAGCGCCGGCCCTGTGTACAGGTACCCATGAAGTACAAGAAAGCCCCGAAGGTCAAGGTGAAATTGATCTACACACACACGAATTGGTAAAATGTAAGAAAAATCCTGGCCATTAAGGTTTCATACCTTTGACTGAGTTACGATTTGAACATTTTCCTTCTAGCTTTATGGAGAACGACATTGATAAACTGACAAAAGCTGTATCTGACTTAACAGTGAGGATAGCCGTTAACTTCACTATTCCAGAAAGACCAAAGTTTATACTAGGTACGAAAGACAAGACCCATATCCATGCTACAGCACTAGGGGACAGAACTCACTGAGGACAGGATGTGTAATGTTATAGAGTACACGCCAAAAATGCCTTATAGTTTTGGCACATATAGAACGTGTCCTTGTATTAAAAGTGCCCACTAGGACACGCTCAGCAAAATTTGATGGTTGGTTCAGGTCATGACAGCCAGATATGTGGTGTTTGATGACAGTGAGGCGAGACAGTCTAGATGTCGATTATGGTATGATGCTGATAAAAGTCCTGTCATTAACATTGATGGGTGGATAGTAGGTGTGGCGGCCATTAAAGGGGACTGATGTTGGTTATGTTGTGCAACTCATGATTTACAAGTGGCTGTTAAAACTCGAGGAAATGGCATTGGCCTATAATGAATTACGTGAAAATATAAGTGACAGGTACCAAAGTCGTAGAGATGTGGACAAGCTGACCATTATAGTGTCACATCCTCATGGCTGTTTTAAACAAGTCTCAGTAGGTCATTTGGGTACACAGGAAGGAGATGGGCAACATGTACAGGTACTCGTACACAATGTGTACCTGCCCAGGTAGCAGTGGGGCCCAGGTCTACAGACTGGGGTGTAGGTGGTCTCTTCATTCACAGAGTGGGGAAAGTTTTAGGGATTGAATTACAGTGGCTTATGGGGGGACTGAAATGTGCATTTGTTTGTGGGAAGGGGGGGGGGCTTGAATGTGCAGTTTTGTGTGTGTAGACTGAAATGTGCATTTGTTTTTGTGGAGAATGAATGTGGGGAGGGGGACTGAAATGTGCACTCATGTGTGGGTTTGTGGGGGGACTGAAATGTGCACTCAAGTGTGGGTTTGTGGGGGGGGGGACTGAAATGTGCAGTCGTCTGTGTGGAGGCTGGTGATACAAAATTAACTGTTAACTTCAGTAAATTACCATATTGCAAAATCACAACATAATCCTAATAACTTCACATTAAACATTATTCAGTTTATAACAAGACAACAGTAACACAGCAACAGGCTAAACATTGAGCAAATCTAAAGCTAGAGATGTAAACATGTTTTATATGTTATACCAATGAAAACTGTTTTAGAATTATCATTTTTAATTAATGAAGCTTAAAATGTAAACATTCTAGCTCAACTTTCTGCCTTCAACAAGTGAGATGTCAAACATCATGATGTCTGGTAAATGTAAATAAAATGTATGGCTGAAATTAAAAAGATGTTGTGTTTGAAGTCAGTTTTTTGTTCTGCAGTTTTCTAATTTCAATTGTATAAGCGGATCTAGGGACTGGTATAGAATAATTTACAAAATAAAGAATAAAAAAACATGAAGGCTTATAAAAAGTTAAATAATTGCTTATTTGTAGAATTTTTGCATTTTATATAAGTTGTTTCGTTCTAAACAATTTTAATTTATATTTGTATAATTAATATTATGGTGACCCAACCCTATTCTCCCCCCCTCCCCCCATGTATATTATCTATATCCTTCCTAGACAAAAACAAAACCAGCTAAATCTCAATGACTAGATCCGCCCACACGTCTGAATTTTGTTGCAGTATTTTGTGAGATGTTGAATAGATGCGTAGCTTGATTTAAGATGGCAGATGATGTAATATAATATGGTATAATTTTTTTATCAAGCTTTGAAAATAGCACCATTTTAACTAACAAGATTAATGCCCATAGGCCAGTGATACATCAACGGTCGAGGCCGTTGCAAGGTTTCATAATCAACAGGATCATAACACAAGGGAATCTTGCTCCAATCGTTGACAGGAAGAAATGAAATTGGAAATTGGAACATCAGAAGTTCTTTGAGTTTAGGTGGTAAACTGGTCTGAGCGAGTCTTTCATCTCTATCTGGGCTTTCTCCTAGCATTGTCGACACCATTATAAAAGCAAGTTTTACCAGGGGCCAGGGTTCGGAAGCCGCTGCTAATATGACCTTTTTTAGCTCTTCTCCAGCGTATAGATATCTTTCTGATTTGGAAAACTGGCGTAGTCCTCTAAGATCGTCTACCGTCATGTAGCAAGTGGCAAGAAGATATTTTGTCACATCATGAATGTGAAACTCTAGAGATAACATCAAAGCTGTCCTATTCTCTGTTTCTCGCTTGCTATTCATACGGTTTAAACCTTTTAATACTATACCGTTGCACACCAGCATTTGAAGATAATTAAAAAAGCAGCCCAAGAGAATTCGCTCAAGTATTAGCTCAGCTTCAGTACTCTCGCTATTCGTTACATGCTTCCCCACCAGGTAACGATACTCTGACCCAACAACAGGATTAGCGCCAGCTTTAAGCAACCTGTCTGAATAATAAACCTGAAAATGCTGGTGTTTGTGCGTCAAACAGTAGACAAGGGCTGATTTGTTGTCCTGGTCTTTGACGTCAAGGTCGGTACCAAAAGCTACCAGTGTTTCTAAATAAGCCAGCATATCGCCGTGTTTTATAAAATACATCAGAGCTGTCCTGCCTTTCTTGCCTGCCATGTTAAAGTCAGCTCCGTGTTCATGGAGGACTTGAAATACGTCGGGGTTATTGTACCCACCGGTATTACAAGCTGCTGCTGCCATCAATGGAGATATTCCAGATGAAGACAAGACGTTGACGTTAGCTCCAGCTTGAAGTAACATCTTGACAATGGCGATCTCATTCAGAGCTGCAGCCAATACCAGAGGCGGCAGAGGTTCAGGTAAGTTTCCATCAATAACAGCGCCTTTGTTTATCAAAGCTTGAGCAACGCCTGCTTGACTTCTGTATATCGCCAGGTGTAAAGCTTTATCGCCGTTTTTATCCACCAAATTCAGGTCAGCACCTGCGTCGCACAACAATAGAGCGATTTTTTTATTTCCAGCTAGCATTAAAGGAGTGTGTCCTTTTTCCGTCTGTTTGTTTACATTACAGCCTGCTTGTAACAAATACCGCACTACGTTTGTGCATGATCCGTGTGCAGCGAAGTGCAACGCTGTGTAGTCTTCATCTGAGTGGACATTGAGGTCAGGGGCACGAGACAACAATTTCAAAGCTGTCTGCTCGTTGCTGTACTCTAAAGCAACCATCAAGGCGGTTTTACCAGGCACATTGTTTAGACAAACTTGTGAACGTCTGTGATTGCGATCTAAAAAATAAATTTTCTCTTCCAGACTGTGACCCAAATGTTCTTGGACATGACGCCCCTTCAGACGTTTGGTGGGTTTTTCATGAATCGTTGTCATTCTTGTGTTAATGACATCTGAAATGTGCGGATCATTCAAAAGAATATCCATAATATCACAGGAGCCGTTTTTCGCAGCAAGATGCAGAACTGCTACTTTATTGTTAGCTGCAACGCTGACATCGCCCCCCGCAACAAGCAAACGTTCAACTAGTTGAACGTTGTCCGTCTGGTCAACAAAATGTAAGGCTGTGTTGCCATCTCTGTCAGCAATGTTTACACGGGCAGCTGGGGTGATGAGAGAGGCTACTAATTTGGCCAAGTAATCAACACTATAGACAGAAATGTCTTCTCTACTGACACCAGACTTCATATTATGAAAGTTGAGATATAAACGAGACGCGATTATTAAAGGCGTTTCGTGGTTGGCATCAAGTAAATTAACATCAGCCCCTGCCTTAAGCAGCATGTTTGTACATTCTAACTGTTCGTGTTCCACACTGTAATGTAAAGCTGTTCTCCTGTAGTCGTCCCTTGTGTTTACACCTGGTCCATGCTCCAGTAAGAGATGCAATATTTTTAACGATTTGTTTTTATATTTTTCTGTCGAGTGGAGTTGTAAAACTTTAGATGGAATTATTTCAAAACTATTTAACTCTTTCATCTTAGAGACGGCAATATGAAGGCACGTCCTTCCATTCTGATCTGTTTGGTTGATGTCCGCTCCAAACTGTAGGATGTTTTTGACAAGTTCCATTTTATTTTAAGTTGACTTGTTTAAAATCTGGATTTAATTTTCCTTCCGCTGGTTCACTAGAGGAGACACTCTGTGAAATAGATGTGTCAAAAGTTGTCAAGTGCGTTCTTATTTAAGGGGATAGGCGCTAGAGAAAAGGCTCAAAAATGTGAAAAATGCCCGTTTTCGGTATTTTATGTATTTGTAATATCTTCGCGATTTTGGTAGATGGTTGACGTTAGTGTAGCGGGGAGGGGGGGGGTGTTGGTCCGTTCGTGGTTAAAATAGGAAGATGGTACATGGTGTGGGCCACAGGACATTAACCCCCCCCCCCCGGAGATTACTAGACATTGGTTTCAGCCTAACCCTAAACTAGCACTTACCCTAGCTCTAGCACTTACCCTAACCCTAGCACTTACCCTAGCACTTACCCTAACCCTAGCACTTACCCTAACCCTAGCACTTACCCTACCCCTAGCACTTACCCTAACCCTAGCACTTACCCTAACCCTAGCACTTACCCTAACCCTAGCACTTACCCTAGCACTTACCCTAGCCCTAGCACTTACCCTAGCCCTAGCACTTACCCTAGCCCTAGCACTTACCCTAGCCCTAGCACTTACCCTAGCCCTAGCACTTACCCTAGCCCTAGCACTTACCCTAGCCCTAGCACTTACCCTAGCCCTAGCACTTACCCTAGCCCTAGCACTTACCCTAGCCCTAGCACTTACCCTAGCCCTAGCACTTACCCTAGCCCTAGCACTTACCCTAGCACTTACCCTAGCCCTAGCACTTACCCTAGCCCTAGCACTTACCCTAGCCCTAGCACTTACCCTAGCCCTAGCACTTACCCTAGCCCTAGCACTTACCCTAGCCCTAGCACTTACCCTAGCCCTAGCACTTACCCTAGCCCTAGCACTTACCCTAGCCCTAGCACTTACCCTAGCCCTAGCACTTACCCTAGCCCTAGCACTTACCCTAGCCCTAGCACTTACCCTAGCCCTAGCACTTACCCTAGCCCTAGCACTTACCCTAGCCCTAGCACTTACCCTAGCCCTAGCACTTACCCTAGCCCTAGCACTTACCCTAGCCCTAGCCTGTCTAATCCTGTCCGGGAAGGGGATAATGTCCTACTGGGCGGGAGGTAATTGACAGGGGAGTAAATACTCCGGGGGGTAATGACGAGGGGGGATGTCCGGGGGTAATTGACGGGGGGGGGCGGGGAATGCCCTGTTCCCATGTCGCGGTTGGTCAAGAAGGGGGGATGAGTGCGGCGGTTTGCTTGTGGTGGGAATAGGAGGAGGGCACGTGTTGTGAGGGATGAGAATAGGACGAGGATACAAGTTGTGAAGGATGAGGATTGCAGAGGCGTAGCGACCCTTCCCGGCGCCCGGGGACAAACTTTCGATTTGCACCCCCCTCAACCTTTCAATTGATATTTCCAACCCATTTTGGCGCCTCCTAAGGTCGGCGCCCGGGGACATATGTCGTCCCCCCCCACTACGCTACTGGGATTGGTCAGCAGGGGGAGTGGGGGTGGGTGGCTGGGTTTGTCTCATCGATAAGATCGGGGTGGGGTTGATCCGTGTAGAGAGAGAAGGGGGATTGGTTTGTGGTGGGAGGGGTTACATTTATTCCCGTATGTTACTGTCAAGAAGCCACATCACAATAAACTGGTCTCCGACGATGACACTCGTACCCTACAGGACTTATATTATTTAAATCACACCAGTGGCGTAGCGAGGGGGGGGGACATATATCCCCGGGCACCGACCTTAGGGGGCGCCAAAATGGGTTGAAAAAATAAAAATGAAAGCTTGAGGGGGGGGGGTGGAAATCAAAATCTTGAGGAGGGGGTGTAAATCTAAAGTTTGAGGGGAGGGGGGTGCAAATCGAAAGTTTGTCCCCTGTCGCCGGGAAGGGTCGCTACGCCTCTGAATCACGTCTCCGTATACAAACGCTGGTCTATACACACTTACAAGTAATACATATCAACAACCCATATTCGAAGAAAACGTAGTTAGCAAATCATGTACTAAAATGTAAACATAGGTTTACCAATCAGTGTCATAAAATATGCAAGGTGCATAGTACTGCACACATTTAATTCAATTCTAGTAGAAACCTTATAGTATTTCACGCATTTACATCTACAATATAGCAATAGTAAGAAGATCGAGAACTAAAATAGATTTAAAAATAGATTCTAAACTATTCTTAGTCTACCACTCTAGGTCTGTGTGTAATCTCAACTCATTTAAAAAAAAATTAAATATTTAAAATTCAACTTGATAGTGAAATATGTCTGATTCCAGTAGGTTGTTATTCAAATGAAATACTTACCCAGTTGTGTGGGATATACACTACATAATACTCGTTTCTTTAAAACACATAGATCTAGATTCTAGGCTTAAGTATTAAAACCTATCTAACGGAAGTTTGTTTACAACATGAATTTAATGCGTACTGCCATGATAGTTATTTTTTTACGCTTATTTTGATGACAACATCAGTTCATTTGTTTTTACCCTTTGCAAAAAAAAAAAAAAAAAAAAAAACCGGGAGTGATCTCTCCTAAACTTTCTCGAATATTCTAATCTAAAACTACTGAGGATGGCAACTCAGGATATAGACAATATTTGTAATCCATTTTTAATTACTTAAACTTTTTATAATAGAATAGAATCTCGTAAAAAAAAAGAATTGCACACCAAGTGAACGCCCAATAAAATGTGCATAATAGTGCGCAATGATATTAGATCGAGACGAAAGAGAATTGACAGTGATTAACATAAAATAAACTTGCGCAAAGATCATGTGAACCTGTGGGATCACTTAGTCGAGTAGATTAGGGTGTCACATGGTGTGGTAGATTAGGGTGTCACATGGTGTGGTAGATGGTGTTACAAGGTGTGGTAGATGAGGGTGTCACATGGTGTGGTAGATGAGGGTGTCACATGGTGTGGTACATGATGGTGTAACATGGTATGGTAGATGGTGTCACACGGTGTGTAGATGAGGGTGTTACTCCTTGCGATAGATGATGGTGTCACATGGTGTGATAGATGAGGGTGTCACATGGTGTGGTAGATGGTGTCACCAGTGTTTCTTCCAGACTTTTTTCTCCGGGGGGGCACTTGAAACTTTCGGAAGGGGGGGGGGGGGCGGTAAACTTTCTTCGGGGGGGGGGGGGCGGACACTGTTAAAAGTATATATTTTCTATATAAATTATATAAATTTCATTTCGTTCGGGGGGGGGGGCGGTAAAAAATTGCCTGGAAGAAACTCTGGGTGTCTCATGGTGTGGGACATGAAGGTGTCGTCCGTTTTGGTAGATTGGGGTGTCATCCTGTGTGGTTGATGAGGGTGTCACACTGTGGTGATTGTGTTCACGCTATTTTTATCTAGACAAACCTTAAAAACCAATATTATATAGTTTAGATTCATAATATAGTGTATTGTTAACTTGCAACGTCACATAAACATCTTTCTGTTTCTGTTTCAATTTGAGGGCCACTATTGTTAGGGTAGGTAACCGAAATATTATTTTACCGCCAATTACTAGCCTTGATTATCCTGCCTCATCCAAGCTGTTAATCTGACTCTCTTAAACTTGTTACATTATGTCTTGCTAATGATTGTTACGTCCCTTGTATTATGTATATCATGGTTACGTCCCTTGAGTGTTCACTGTGTATTCCGTGATGTGTAGTTGATGTTTACATGTAGTCAGTTAACTACATAGATAGACCCAGAGACAAGTCGTGACGTCTATGCTGTTGTTTATTATAATAAAGTACTAAGGTTAACTCTGAGAAATTTGTCTAAGTATCCAGTGTGGGAGAATGTTTATACCGGTGTCCAATAATAATGGAATCTTCTTTAATCTTTAGGGATTTAGAGATCTACTTAACTGATCTAGAAATCTAGATCTAGGATCTAGAATCTAAAAATAGACTTAAATAGACTAATACAAAAAAACCTGATTTCACTACTATACTATTACTATTACGAGGCCTATATCCTTTTTTTAGATGCATATTTGTTCCTTCTACAAAGTTACTTTAACTTAGTGTAAGTTGCAATTGAAATAACTTAATATAGGCCTAGATTTAGCACATTACTCTTTCTTAGTTATTAATTAAATTATATAAGACTTAGGCCTATAGAATTACAGTTTTAATATTAGTGGGTATGACTGAGATGCCTACTTGCAAAACATCCAAGAGTATATATAATGGAAATGTACTTCCTATCTTATGGATTATATTACGGTAATTTATAATTATTTTAAATAATTTTAAATGTGTGTACATTTTTAACTTTTTCCCCCACACACAGCGCCTTTGTTTATCCTGTAAAGAAGAGAATAGAGTGAATAGTCAGATGAAACCCCAAGAAGTTCCAGAACAAACTAAGAAGAAGAATTGGGGAGAAGAAAAACTGATATACATTGCCCAAAGACATTGCAAAAAGTTTATGGAAGCATTGATGTTTTATCTGTTGACAAAATAGTCCAGGAACTGCTGGTAGCTCAAGGCATTGTTAAGCATGGTACAACAGACAAGAACAAATTTATATTTATGTTTTTCTTGACAAAGGATATGATTTATGAATTTAAGGATAACTACACAACTGTTGTTGTAGAGCGCAGTGTTTCTTCCAGGATTTTTTCTCAGAGGGGGGGGAGGGGCACTTGAAATTTTCGAGGGGAGGTAGACTATCTTCGGGGGGGGGGGGGGGGGGGGGGGGCGGACACTGTTTAAATTATAAATTATATAAATTTCATTTCGTTCGGGGGGGGGGGGGGTAGAATATTTTCGGGGAGGGGGGGGGGGGGAACAATGTGTATTTTTACACTTTATTAAATGTTATGTGTATTGATGCAAATTATAATGGTGTGCATGATAAGTGAGTGTATGGCGATTTTGTATGAATATTTAAGTGTTCTGTGTTAAATGTGTGAGAGTTCAGAGATTTTGTATGTTCACATAGATGTTATTGAGATTGGTTCTGTTCATAAGATGTTTTCATGAAATGTGTTCAAAAGCTTTTACACATGTATGTTCTTTTTTGGGAAAAATGAAAATGTGTTTAAGAACAGAGATAAATTTCTGCATCCCCAAATCTATTTTGAAAACCACATTGAACGGCTATAGAAACACAGAATTTGCAACACTTCACTTCACAACAAACATGGTCTGTGACATATTTTTTGACATATTACTGATGGAGTGTCAGTAATGCAAAAAGTGCGCAGCAAAAAGTTACAGACACTTTTTGCCAGCTACATTTTAATGCATACATGCAACCTTGACCTATTTCTGATATCTAGACATTTGAATATTTAAACGCATGCCATAAATACAACTTATCTGGCTCTAGGGTTAGGGTTGGGATTTGGGTTTGGTTAAGGTTAAAAACTAAAACTATACATTTCATATTCTCTTTTTATAATCTTTGTTTGGGTGGCAGAGCCAGAGGCATAGCAACCCTTCCCGGCGCCCGGGGACAAACTTTTCGATTTGCACACCCCCTCTCAAACTTTCTATTTGCACCCCCCTCAACCTTTCAATTTATTTTTCCAACCCATTTTGGCGACCCCTAAGGTTGGCACCCTGGGACTTTTTTCCCCATCCCACCTCACTACACTACTGGGCAGAGCATAACTTTTTGGTGGGGTTTTCTGGGCCGGTTCAATTACCTCCCCCCCCCTTTAGAGTACATATAATCCATCTCAATATCCACACCCACACTATAATCATATACTGTTTGGTGCAAAATTAGTTGGTCAACAACATTTTATATATTAATCGGTGATAAGTCTATTGGTTCTGTTTCTTATGTTTTACATTGTACATTTTACTGGGTTTTTTCCTCATGTTTCATTGTTGCCATGTCGTCATATCATTTCTTTGATGAGATTGTTGTCTTTGGATATAAGTTTTTGTACATGCAGATTGCTTTTTTAAGAGAAAACTATCATTTAATGTTTTTTGAAATCACCATCATCTTATTCAATTTTTAATTGAATTGTAAATATCAGTTTAAATGGAAAGACAGCTGAATCTTATATTTTACTGGAAAACATGCACTAATGAACAGTCTTTTTGTGGGGAACATGAATTTGTATCTAACATTGATCTACTGAAGTATTTTATAAACAATATAAGGTTTGGTAAAACATAACCATGGTTACTTTAGGTCAGGCCTATACTGTTGGAGAGTTTGGCATGAATATTAGTGTTGTAAATGCTGTAGTTTCTGTTGTTGTAGATTAAGTGTATATTGGTCTTGTAAATACAGTGGATGTTGGTATTGTAAATGATGTAGTTGTTTATATTGTAAATGTTGGTATTGTAAATAGTCAGAATGTTAGTATTGCAAATAATCAGCATTATGGTGTTGTAAATGCTTTGGATGTTGGTATTATAAATGGAGTACATGTTGGTTTTGTAAATGCTATGGATGTTGGTGTTGCTAATGATGTGGCTTTTGGTATTGTAAATAATTTGGATATTGTTATTATAAATACTGTGGACGTTGATATTCTAAATGCAGTAGGTTTTCCCTGTATGTTGGTGCTGAAAAAGCTGTGTTCGTTGGTATTGTAAATGCTGTGGATGTTGGTATTGTAAATGATGTGGATATTACTATAAATGCTGTGTTTGTTGGTGCTGTAAATGATGTGTCAATGAAAGTTGTTCCTTTAGTAAACTTTTATTGCCACAAATTTAATGTAAGGGTAGGCCCAACAACAGTCAAAATTTTACTAAGTGAACAAGGATGGGCTTATCATACCTCTAAAATTACAAAGAGAAAGCAGATTGTTAGGGGTGATATTGTGTGTGGTGTGAGCATGTCCAATAGAAACTTTGCAATTAAATGAATTGTGGACTGTAAGGAATATAAAATGGAAAATGCTATGAAAGATGTATTGTGTAACTGTAATGAGCATGGGTATTTTAATTATAACCTTTTGAATACTTATTTATCTTTATGAAATTATGATCAAGAAATAATTTTCCACTTTTTTGTAACATCTATAACTAGCAAATTACTGTTACTGAACAATCTCCAGATACATGCAGGTCTTTTTGGAAGTTCTCAAAATTAATGTGACTAGCTAAAACATGTGCTTTGTTTCCTTTTTATAAATGTTTTTTTTTTTTTTTTGCATAATAAGAATTTTATAAACAAATCTTTAAACATTTGATAATGTTAAAGGTTAGAACACTGATGGTATAGATACCAAAAAGTGAAGAGAACAGATTATACTAAAGTATAGTGTAGAATTGCTGCATTGGTAAAAATGGATATCTTGTTTTTTAAAAATTCTTTTATATTGTTAAAAACAATGGTATGATTAGCCCTTCCAAAAAAAGGTATTTCTGTTGTTCACTATATATATTATTATACATAATCTTAAATAGTATATACAATCCAGTATCTGGAGATTGTTCATGAACAGTAACTTGCAGTCTATAGCTGTTAAAAAATTGTGGAAAAAGATAAGTATTCCAAAGGTTATAATTAAAACACCCATACTCCATACATCTTTCATAGCCTTTTCCACTTTTAGATTTTGGGCCAGATATTAAAGAAGCATCAGTCTTAATAAAAAAAAACACTAACCAGCATTCACTTGGTTTGTTGTAAATGGTAAAATGTAATTAGCGATATTGTGCTTAGTGTTTCATACACTTTATGTAACATGAATGTTCAATAAAAATAAAGTAACTAGTTTATAAATTTTTATGTTGTCATTGATTGGATGTGCTGGGATGTTGGGGTGTCTTGTGTTTGTGTATGGTGTCTGGGTGTCTCTCATCCTCTGGCTTAGTTTTGGTCTGTCATTCTGGGTTGGGTTTGATCTCTGCCATTCTCACATGGTTTTCTTGTCTTAGTCAGCTTGGCATAAGCTCTGTCACTTCAGCCACTTGGGTCCCCCAAGAGCTGAATCAGAATCTAATATTTAAACTACACTTACAAAAAGGAAAAAAAAAAATCTTGTGCTCTTTATGATCAAATACTTCTTTTATTGTTTTAAATTGACAGAAAAACAACTATTTGTTTTTAGTGTAATGTAAATGCAAAAGGTATTTTTTTAAATACATTCGCACATCTCTCTCAGACCCCAGTTCTATTAATAAATAGTACCTATTTTTCACTGTCAATATTTTTTAAAGCTATAATTTTATTGTAACAACTTATTACTTCTTACTTCCCTTTTCAAGGGAGACAAATAGCTTTTAATAAAAAAAAAATATCTGGAATATATAAAAAAAATGTTTTAAAATATTTTTGTTCATGATTTGATTAAAATGTAAAAAAAAGTAAATAGCTAAAAAAATTTGTCATGCTTCTTAAATCTCAGAACAACTGAATAGAATGTAAATGACACATTAAAGCTAGCAGATGACAATAATAATATGTTTTATCAGAACTAGCTTTATAAAGTAAGTTACATAAAAAACAACAGTAAGTACAGAAGCCTGTATTTCATTCTGAGTAGATAAAATTATATCATTGCTTAGGATTACTGAAAAATCCAAACATCAAAATTCACAATAATGAGAAAAGGGTTTGAAATCTGTTATCAATACAAAAAATTACAAAAGGTAAAAAAATGAGTTAAATTAAGTAATATTTAAAGTGCAGTAGGAGAACTTTCAATCAAATGGAGATCCCTTTAACAGAAAAAAGAGGTATAAAAATAAATTAATGCTGGTGTGAATATCACAGGTCATCAATTAGAACCACTTCGGAACTTTTATTTGACAGCCAGGCGTTTGACTGTCCCTAGACGTCCATCCACTTGTAGAGTTTCACCTGAATAATTGATAACGATCAAATTAGTGTTAAATATTCATGATTCTAGTTTATAATTTATATAAATCATAACAATATTCAGTTATTTTGTAAACCTGCTTTAAAAAGTGCATTGCTTTCAATATAAGAACAATAATTACCAAAGACTAAAATTGTTTATCTTATATTTTGAAAATATTTTCAATATTTTTCAGAAATTAAAATCTTGAACTAACAAGTATTGCAAAAATGTATAGTGTATAAAAATAATAATTAGAGAAAAAAAGGAGATGTCGAAAAAGAACTATGCAGTACATAAGTTTATTCATTAAAAAAATTTGGCTGAAAAATCTGCTTATTATCTAAAAATTTAATAAAACTAAAAATAATTTTTTAGGAATGTAACACTTTAAGCCACCTTATTCCACTAACCCTTAAACCTAGCTATTTTCAGACAACAGAAAAATCCCTAATCCACTTGTAAACTAAATAGCCCTAGATTGACTGAGTTAGAAAAATTACTATCTATAACCAGTTTTAAACAACATTAAACAGGTTTGACAGTTCAAATACTTCAATACCACTAACATCATACATAACGTAACATATCTCATAGATAAAGTTTACCTGATCTGATGTTAGTTGTAGCATTTGCCACATTCACCACACATGGGATTCCATACTCTCTAGCCACAACAGCACCTGACAAACACAAGGCTAAATTAAATCATCTACTCTAAAGTTAATGAGAAAAAGACTGCATACATAAATAAAGTCTGCTAGCCCAAAAGTCTTGAATTCGAATCCAGGTTCAAGTCAGTAGAATATCGCTGAGTCCACCAAACTCTAATAGGTACCTAACTCATGTTAGGGAAAACAGGCGGCTGGGCATAGTGCTGATCACACTATAACTTCATATGCAGATCTCTCTGAAACACATCTACCCTATGTCTTGGGCACCAACAGGAAAAGATGATGATATATAAGCAAAAGAAATTGGAACTAGTGACTGCTAGCATAAGTAAGACAGCATAGCGATCCCCAGTAAGACAGATTTGTTAAGTTGGTGATTGCTAAACCATTGTGTTCACTGTTTGAAAATGTGTACCATGTCAGGCCTAACTCAGACTTAACAAACCACACTATCAATTTATACTGCACAGTAAGAGAGCATATTGCTATAATTTTCTACATTGAGTTAATACAAATTGTTTGGAAAATACATAAAAACTTATAAAAATGTGCATTAAGTTTGAATCAAAACAAAGATTACTAAATAGAAAAACCTGTTTAGCTAATACTTTGGTACAGTTATGAAAGTGCATTAAGTTAAAATCAAAACAAGAATTACTAATGAAACAAATTATTTAGCTGGCATATTTATAAAACATAGATGAGTTTAAAATGAAACGAATTATTATACAAAATATAATACTGTTTAATGTATAGGCGTACTTCCTAACAGTTTTAAAATTTGCATTAATTTTAAAGTAAAACAGGAATCACTGAAGAAAAAATAACAAATAAACTCCACCTACCATGTGACACAAGACCACCCAGTTCTGTCACCAGTCCACCAATCAGAGGAAAGTATGGAGACCAGCCCACATCAGTGCTGGTAACAACCAGGATATCACCCGCCTGTACAAGATATACATACAGATCTAACAGTAACAACCAGGATATCACCCGCCTGTACAAGATATACATACAGATCTAACAGTAACAACCAGGATATCACCCGCCTGTACAAGATATACATACAGATCTAACAGTAACAACCAGGATATCACCCGCCTGTACAAGATATACATACAGATCTAACAGTAACAACCAGGATATCACCCGCCTGTACAAGATATACATACAGATCTAACAGTAACAACCAGGATATCACCCGCCTGTACAAGATATACATACAGATCTAACAGTAACAACCAGGATATCACCCGCCTGTACAAGATATACATACAGATCTAACAACCAGGATATCACCAGCCTGTACAAGATATACATACAGATCTAACAGTAACAATCAGGATATCACCCGCCTGTACAAGATATACATACAGATCTAAAAGTAACAACCAGGATATCACCAGCCTGTACAAGATATACATACAGATCTAACAGTAACAATCAGGATATCACCCGCCTGTACAAGATATACATACAGATCTAACAACCAGGATATCACCAGCCTGTACAAGATATACATACAGATCTAACAGTAACAATCAGGATATCACCCGCCTGTACAAGATATACATACAGATCTAACTAAACTAACTGAACATTTAGACATCCTGAACATTTGGGCATCATTGTGAATAATGTTACAAAAATAAATTTATATCAGGATATTTATAAAATAGATTCCAATTTTAATCCACAAAGACGAGTAGCTCATTATAAATTTAAAACAATATTAGCAGTAGTAATGAAATAAGTCTAAGCTTTTTTTTTTTAGCAAAGGTTAAATATATTACTATAATATCAAATATTCTTTTGTTTGATACATTTTTATTTCCTTATTCAAATTCAAAATTTTAATTTAAAAAACATTTAAAATATGGTATTTACTTATTATTTCTGAGTCCACCCAGCTCTGATGGGTACCTAACTCATGTTAGGTAAAGTAACAGCAGCTGGCGATAGTACTGACCACACTATCCCTTCACATGCTAGGTCACAAAAACTCTATTTCACTTGCCCTATAGACAGTCAGGTCTAAAAGAGAACTTTACTTATTTCCTTATAATTTCTAATAATATGATTGTTTTTATATAATTAGTTTAGTTCATATAATGTAGTATGCAATATCAATACAGCAAAGCATATGTTGACTGTACCTTTATGACAGAAGCCTGAGCCAAACTATGTACAACCTGGGCTGGTCCAGTCACTTGACCTTGACTTACTGGCATCCCTGCGAGGGATAGAACATTTGTGTCAGTCACATTTCTATATTGATGTTTACTAATAAAGTCTTAGCGTTATCAAGTAAAGGATAATTCAGGATGTTTTGAAATTGTTTAAATTACATGTTAGTATTGTGAGCCCATGTATTTAATCAGTATATTACTAACCTTTCAAACATTCAACATTGGAAGATTCAGTTTGACTGGAGCTTACATTAATCTAAAGGGATAGACAATTGTTGAGTTAAAGGTAAACATGTCAAAAATATTAAACCATAATAAGTAATTAAATATTAATCAAAGAACTGACTAATCTTTAATAGTAAAACAAACATGATATTTTTAGAAATATTGAAATTATAAATTACTTTCTTTATGAATCAAAGAACAGACTAAACTTTAAAAATAAAACAAACTTGTTATTTATAGAAATAATGGAATTATAAATGACTTTTAAAAAAAAAAAGATGGCTGCTTCTTAGAAAAAAATGTTTTCAGAAAATCAGATGTTAAATAAACAATTGAAACAGAAATAAATTAGTCTACCACCTTAAAAAAAGCTGCTTAAAAACCAGATTAACTCTTTACTTACCTCAACAGGATGATCTTTGCTGATTTTTGTAAATTTTTTCTCAGCTTGTTTTGGTAAAACTTTTCTTCGTTTTTGAGCTCTGAGCAGAAAATGTTGTATTTAAAAAAAAATACCTTTAAGCATTTTAAATTAATAAATTATAATAATTTTTAAATAAAAATAAATGAATACATATTTTTTCAACAACGGAACATGATTATAAATTTATATTAAGTATTATGTATTCTGGTAAATATTTAAATGTCATACTTATTTGCTCTCTACATTTATTTAAACTTTAACAAAGACTTCTTGTATGAGTAAAAAAAATTGTTAAAATTTGGACAGTAAGACCATATTTTTTTTTTTAATAGTGACAGTCATATCTGACACAATAAGAAACTGATAGAACTTTAACTTGAGCTTACTTGATCACAAGGCGAGCAGAGCGTGTTGACAAAAGAGTTCCTATCTCTTGATGTGTTAAAAAAAACATTAAGTCAGGATCAGGTATTCTCCCCTGGTAGTATATTTAAACCAAATTGAGTTACAATTTAAACACTTTTATATTATAAGGCAGTAAAAATTGAAACAAGTTACAGTTATTTGATTTACTTATATATAGCAATGAAAGTATGCAGGTCTGTTCTTTATGTATGACTACACTTTTTGACAGAATGTCATGAAACTTTGGGAAGTTAATGGGAGGGGCATCATCACTACAGGGTGAGATTTGGCGACGAGAGTTACCCAGCAGCTCTTTTAGCACCTGGGATCAGTTGATTAGGTGACTTGCACAGGAGGTCAGAGCTATTACTCAATTACTCTATTTGTTTTGAAGAGCACCCTACATTAGGTACACAGTAGCACATGACATTCAATGATTAAACTGAACCAGGAGTCACACCCTGCAATAGTGTAACCAGTAGCTCCCAAGAGTGCCCCACAACTCCCCTGACCCTTTGGCCGTCACTAATGAGTGTTCTACCTCACCCTAGAAGAAGGTACTAGATATACATTGGAAGTCTAGATTTCTTTTTCAAATGCAAAATGCATCTGTTATTATAAATGTGGATAGAAAATTAGATCACGCATATAAAGAAATACATCATTGGTAAAAATTAAATAATTAAAAAATGAGTGTCCTTTTCTTCTGAGATAGCAGCAACATGAGAAACAGGTACACTATACTAAATAAAACAGGATTACTTTAGGCCTACTAGAGTTATTTTATTGAGCAGAACTTACTTCCTGAAACATACGGGCAGCCAACATACAGTAATATGTCTTTATGTTGTCACTCATTTTCACAGAGATTGACTGCATGGATGTGGAATATACAATAAAAACATATGATCAATATGCAATAAAAACATACAATCAATATACAATAAAAACATACAATCAATATATACAATAAAAACATACAATCAATATACAATAAAAACAAACAATCAATATACAATAAAAACATACAATCAATATACAATAAAAACATACAATCAATACATACCTATAGGATTTACATACACTATATATTGATTGAATTAACAAGTTTAAACAAGGTTGATAGCATAGTTTTTACAAAGAAAGTACCCTATTTCATACAAGAAACTATTGGTTTTAACAAAAGAAGTAATTTAGTTTTAACACTGTAAGTAACTTAGTTCTAGCAAGGGAAATTTCTAAGATCTAACAAGGGGCGTAAGCTAGTTCTAAAAAGGGAAGGAACTTAGGTCTAACACGTGAAGTAACTAAGGTATAACAAAAGAAATAACTTAGATCTAAGAAGGATAATTACTTAGTTTTAATAAGAGAAGTAGCTTAGCTCTGACAAGGGAAGTAACTTAGATCAAAAAAGGAAAGTAGATTATTTTAATGATACACGACAAGTTCAAAAACAAATGACACAATTACCTTTCCCCATTCTCTGCAGCCAACAGCTTTCCATGCTTGAGGCAGAAGCTTTTTCAGGATCCACCTGTAATATTAATTTTTTTTTTTTTTTTTAGAAATTAGCAAGCATCACCATACTGGTGAAATACAAGAATATCAGACCAAATATATTTAAACGTTTAAGGAAATAAACACAGTACCTAGCATTAGGCCAAAAAATAATATCTGAACAAATATATTTAAAAGTTTAAGGAAATGAACACAGTACCTAGCATTAGGACAAAAAAAATTAAGAACAAATATATTTTAAAAGTTTAAAGAAATAAACACAGTAGGCCTATCTAGTATTAGGTAAAAAAAAAATCAGAACAAATATCATTTGCACATTTAAAGAAATACAAAGTAACTTGTATTGTTTGAATATGGAGACAATTAAATTTTCAAATTTGGAATGCGGTACAGCACATGACTACTAGCCCTAAAGACCTCATGTTCTATTCCCAGCCTGGAGTCAATGCAAAAGCCCTTAGCCCACTTAATGCTAATGTGTACCTGACTCAAGTGAGGGAAAGTAAAGGCAACTGGGCATAAAATCACACTATCCCTACATAAGCCAAAAACATAAATACAAGCAAACTCTATTTCATCTGCGCTCATAGACAGGTTAAAAATGTTAACTGTAATATTATTTTAAAAACAATAAATAACTCTGAAGCCTTGTAATGATAAAATTCTTATTCATATGGTTATAAAACCTACCTTTTGTGGGCTGGTATTTTTGTCTTCATTTTACTTATCAGTTCAGGTATAGAGACATTAGATTTCTCAGTCTTCTCAAAAGATTTTGTTTTCAACATTATCTGATAAAATGAAAATTGTAAGTTTATTAGCTTAATAAAATCAATAACAATCGTAAATTTGTGTGAAATTTACTGTATGTTTTTTTGCATATAGATATAAGAACATTATTGTCAATTTATGTTATTCAAAGCTTGGTACTGAAATAAATAAAAAAGTCTAACCTTGAGAACTGAAACAAATTTCTCAGGAGCTGTTTGCCATGATTTTTCTCTTAACTCCGACTGAAAAACAAAAAGGAAATCAAAATAATTAAACAAGAAATGTCTTCATTAACTGTATTATTGATAATAAATTATACAACTAATCCCACTTATAAATGTTTTACAATGCAATTACAGAAAGCAATAGAAAAGGAAACCAGATCTAAATGTGGTATATTTAATTGAGACTAATTATGTTATACATTTTCTTGTCTAATCTTGTATAAATGCCATTATAGGCTACTTCATTAAAGATGTCGAGTAACTCTAAATTTCTGTTGTAACAGTATTTACCTCCCTTAGGCATCTATGCCCATGTCTCTTTAGAAATTTGTCAATGGGTATCCAAACTTCTGGGTGACGGTTCAACATTCTCAAACACTCCTGGAGAAAAGAAAATTTATTTTTATGTTAATTCTGTTTTTTTTTTAAAATCTTATACATATAAATAAACAATAGTTAATTAGTATTTGTTTTTATTGAATTCTACATATTTTAATAAACAAATTGCCTAATTATTAGTTATGGGGCGGAGTGGCCTAGCAGTAGAGAGCTGGACTGCTAATCCGTAAGTCTCGAGTTCAAATCCGGGTTCAAGTCAGTAGACCATCACTGAATCCAGCCAACTCTGATAGTACCAAACTCACGTTAGGGTAAGTAAAGGCAGGAGGGCATAGTGCTGACCACACTATCTCTACATATGCCGAAGTCAAAGAAACAAATGAACTCTACTTCATTTGCCCTGTAGACTGTCAGGTTTGAAATAGAACTTTACTTACATACTGATTATTAGTTAATAGGAGGTAAATAAAAATAAATATGTATGTTTTGTATGCATACTGAAGACAAAATACTGCATTATAGCATTAATGAAAAATTTCTAGAAATGTCATCATTACTAAGTATTACAACAGATACACTAAAAAAAATAAGTTAAGTTGCTTTCTTAATTATATATCTATCTAATATTTACAGTTTCAGTTTTTACTAATTTAACTCCAAGGAATCTGAAAAACTTCAGAAATGATGAGTATAAAAAATATTTTAAGACTCACTTTGTCAGGGGTCTCCATAAACAACTGCACAAACTTGTCTCCCTTTTTGTCTATTTCTTTTGCAATCAACTGTTTAAAAACATATTTTAAAGGAAAACTAAATTGATCAGTTAAATTTTAAAAATTTGGTCACAATATTATAATGTCACTATAAATGGTTGTTATTATTAAACAAACAAATTATTAAAAAAAATTAATTTATCATACCGTATTTGTGGATTAAAACTAATAATTTTTAAAAGTTTAACAAAAAAATCACACTACCGCCATAGAGTGAGGGACCTCAGCACTGTACACATCCTCACAACTAGACAACAACAACGCTATATCTCCATAGTGATCAGACGTCCATTCTGAAGGGACAAGCCCGTAATCAGATCATTACTGAATAGGTTTTGAGGGGGTTAAAAAAGTTTCTTTGGGAAATTTTATTTTAAGATTTTATTTTTGCTACATCAAGTAGGCTACACAGCTTCTATATAATGAAACCTGTAAAGAATTTTGCCTTGCTAGCTTTTATAGATTTACAGTAAAAGTAAAATAACCTATGATCTGATACCCCATAGGACAGGTGAAGTAGAACTCTGATTCAGTATATAAAAAGAAAGTGAGGCCAAATAAAAACCTGCCATCCACCTGCTGCCTCTACAAACAAAAACCTGCCAACTGCCTACAACCTCACCGCACCAAACCACCACCGCACCAAACCACTATCTGTAACCTACCTGCCACCACAACAAACACCACCTCACAAAACCACCACCTCACCAAACCACCAATGCACCAAACAACCACAAGCCACCTGACAAAACCACTAAAAAACAACCAACCACTGACCTGCTGCCTCTCCGCCAACAACTGACATCAAAGCATGAGCCATATTGCCAGATCTGCCACTGTTGATGACAGTCCACGACCAGACCTTAAAGAAAGGGACATAATCAAACGGTTAACTTATTGAACACCATGTAGTACAACATGAGTTCTTTCCCTATGTGGTTTTTTTATGGATTTAAAATACCATAGCTTTTTTTAGTTATAGCGCTAGACAGCTAACTCAAAAGTCTCGAGTTTGAATCAGGGTTCAAGTCTGCAGAAAGTTCACCCAACTCTGATGGGTACCTAACTTATGTTAGGGAAAGTAAAAACTGCTGTGCATAGTACTACTGACCACACTATCCCTTCATATGCCGAGGTCACAGAAACAGGTAAACTCTACTTAACTTTCCTCATGAACTGTCAAGTTCGAAAAGGGAACTTAACATTTTTTACCTGATTGCCTAGGGGTGGGCTGGGGAGGAGGGGGCGGGGGTTGCAGACCGCACCGGGTGACACCATTTAGGGGGGGTGACACCAAGGCAAATAATAGCAAAATATATAGAGAAAAACTTGAGGGGGGGCTGCAAGTCGAAAGTTTGAGGGGGGGTGCAAATCGAAAATTTGTCCCCGGGAAGGGTTGCAACGCCTCTGGGGGGTGACACCATTAAGTGGCGCACCGGGTGACACTCGACCTCGCTACGCCACGTGGGGGGGGGGGGGGAGGGTAATCTGATTAAGGCCAGTTTTAAAAAGAAAAAAAATTACTAAACTACAAGAAGGGAGGTCACCCACAGACTCGTAGTCCGCCAGCTTCTTGTCAATACACTTGTACAGCCCAGTTGCGTCAGCACCTTCATCTTTCACAACATCTGTTTCTAGTCTCTTCTCCCACTGCGCAGTTACGGCAGTTGATTTCAAAGACACCTTTGGAAGAGTTAGTATGTCTCTTAGAGTAAATACAATAAAAAAAAACTTCCTTAAGTATAGATTTTAATCATAGTGGTAAATTACATAAACCTACTATTTTAACATAATATTTAATCATAGTGGTAAATTACATAAACCTACTATTTTAACATAATATTTTAACATAATATTATACTTTCGACAGCGATATAAAAATTAAACTGAACAAAAACCTAACCTATTACTTATGTTTCACACTTTGACGGTGATACCTAAACCTAAGCCATAACCTCAAACTAAACATTACATTTGACTTAACCCTAATAAGAAAGAGAGCCTAGCTGATTGCAGGCACAGAATAGATGAGCAAAATATAAATCCCAGCATGACAAATTTTCGAACAAAGTGAGAAATGTTGTGAACAGAAAAAACTATACTGTATTACACTATTTAACAATTCCTTAAAGCAGGATAGAGAGTTTGATATTGTAGACGTATTTTATAGCTAGACCACCCTCTTCCCCAGCTAGTATGAACACGTCACCATAAAAAATAAATAAGTATCATAGAAAATTGTCAGTATTTGTGACAAAAGCAAAAGTCATTTAGTATAAATTTACTGAAAATACTGAAAATTATACATTTAGAAAAAAATTAAATATATTTTTTACACTAAAAATTAATTTAGAAACAAAAAAATGGAAATTTTTTTTTAATTAAAAAATAACCAGAACACTTACTCTAATTAACTGGAGAAAATTTAAAGTTTTTCTGAAAAAACCTAAAGGTTTGCGTCCAAAATAGTTTTTTATATCCTCATCCTCCAGCTGTGGTAGAAGCTCACCCAAAAGGTTTATTGCCATGGAGTCTTTGCTTACAAGAGCAGCAGTCAAAAATATTGTACTGATATCCTAAGAGTGGTACAAAATCAAAACATTTAAGGGAGCTCTAAAAATAATAAATAGCAATACAAGGGAAGGAAAGAAATATGTTTAAAAATTAACAATGTTAATGAAAAAGTAAAATATGTTAACATCTTGTGTAGTGAATAAACAAATTGATTTTTATTATATGCAATTAAGGATGTAATTAGAACTGTGAAGTTCAGAGTGCATACATTTAACACTTTTAAATGACACTACATAAAACAATTACAGTTTACTTGCGAAGCAAACAGTGTTTCTTCCAAGCATCTCTTCGAAGAAAGTCTACCCCCCCTCCCCAAGCGAAATGAAATTCCAGTGTCCACTCCGCCCCCCCCCCCCTCCCCCCCAAAATATCAAGTGCCCTCCCGGAGAAAAAAGTCTGGAAGAAACACCGGTAGCTAATGCTGAAATCTGATTCTAAGTTTGAGAGTTCAATGAGTTGATGGTTATGATTTAGCTAGCTTTACACATTACTTACATTTTTATACCATTATTTTATAACATTAATAAACATATTAATGCTAGTGTTATTAGAATGAAGACTTACGGTAAGGCAGATGAAAAGGTGGTTGCAGTAAGATGGAATAGATTTAGGGAGACGAACTGTCTTTCTTCTTCCACCCAAGTGCATGTTCAAAACCTACATACACAATAATATATATGTCAATTGTTTATAGACAAAAATTTAGTATTCTTTTTCTTTAACTATTACTTTAATAATTTTCTGAGAATTCATATAGGTGATCAAATAAAGTTATAGTCGGTTAAATCTAATGTTAATTAATAGTTTTTCTAAGAAATTTGTTTTCTGTAATCCCTATTTTCTTACTAGGAGCAAATAATTTTACTCCCTGTGAATTTAAAATTGTATGCAAAGTAACACATTAACTTATTATTTTATTCATTAGAAAAAAAATACAACCAATTTTTAAGACTGAAAAAATGCACAAATATTGTATTCAGTAAATTATTAAAAATAATTTATTTTAAATTAATTTTGAAAGATATGTTTAAAAGTACTAACATAATTTTACAAAATACATTAAAATTTAAAAAAAATTGACTTAATATAAAGAAACCACAGTAAAATAAAACTATTTTGTGTACCAATCAAATTCTAATGGGAAAACATGCAAAAACTTATAGTGACTTTTAAGTGAAATAACTATTTATTTAACACACAACCACCAGAAAAATATTTTACTAATAAAAGAACCCTCAAAAAACGGTTGTACGTTTAATTATAAGGAAATAAACTGGAACAGATATAGTGATATGAATATTATATTAATTTAAATATTAATTTAAATAATCAATAAGGGGCAAATTGTTTTGAGTGGTGTGGGGTAAGACTGAACATTTGTCTATCATGTGAAAGACTTACTAGTGATAACTTTAGTGCTAATTAATCTGAGTAGTTCATTATGCATGCATACATTGTTAGTATTTTAACTGTTCCCTAATTAGATAATTTGAAATTGTTTACATTTGTTGCGAGCTTCAGTAATAATATTTTATGACTGACATTGGGGAGGGGGCACTACTCTAATGCAATGTTATTTGCATGCAGTGTAGTTTAAGGGTTAGAACAACATCTTATTTCAACTAGCCAACCTTTAAACTAATTAAATTGTTTATCATGCAACCTCCTGTAAAATTAACATCCAGCTTTTTCCTGTGTGAAAACACAAGACAAAATCTAAATAGAAATTTAGATTACAATTTATTAAAATACAATAGGTTTTATATTATATCTATTGCTTTTAATGCAAAAAATTTAACTTTAATAAAAATGTAGAACCCCTACATGGCAAACGTTTCATATTAGCTTATGTCTAATTTGATAATTCTGGACTTTAGAAACAACAAGGGAATTAATTACCTGCAGGCTGTACTCAATCGATGTCTGAAAGGTGCTCAGAGTAAGGGGAGTTACTGCCCCTGGCAACATTTCACTGAGAATTTTAAAAAAAATTGATTTCATAACAATTTAAAAAATTTCAACAAAGCTATTTTCTATTAAAATAAGACAAATATCTCCTAATACATTGTTGAATATTTATTGGTTTTTTAAAGCATTTAAAAACTTCTTTAAATATAATTATAACTGGGTGTATACTAAATTATTTGCTATTTTTAACTTGCTTTGTAAAATATTTTCAGAGCTAGTAGTATCACTGATAAAACATATAACCTTATTTCTATCTTTAGGCGAGTTCTGCAAGTGATCCCTTAAATTAAGAAACATGGGAAGATTGAGCTCTTATTCCTTAATGGTGGTCATCCATAAATGACGTCACTTTTTTTTTAACGATTTTTACCCCCCCCCCCCCCCTCCCCTCTGTCACACATTGTCACAAAAGCAAGACCCCCTCCCACCAAAAAAAAATGACATCACAACTCAGCCGACAACCCCCTTTAAAAATTGCAGTTGAATTTTTCTTAAAACATCAATATTTTTCCAAAATCTTGCATGAACTCTGTCAATATAGAGTATTTTAATCAAATGCTAATATAATTTATTAAAACGGTTTTCTAAAACGCGAAATAAAGGCTAAAATTAATTTTTTAACATCGCTTTTTTATAATGCAAAAAGTGTGACGTCACACCATCTGAACACCCCCCCCTCCCCCTCATCACATAACTTCACAAAATTACGGACACCCCCTCCCCTTACGAATGTGACGTCATTTATGGACGACCCCTAAGGCCTTACACAAATTCAAGTGCCACACCTTAGTAATCTCCTACCCACTTTATACCCTAGTATTATTTCCCTTGTGCTATATAACCAGGCATCACCAAGAACATTAACTCTATTTTGTTTACCTGTATCACTAAAGCAAAATTTTATAGATATCTATAGTCTCTTTTTTTTTCATGTTTTGTTTGATGTATTTTTTAAATTATTATGATGTATTTATGTTATTTTATATATATATATATACATATATATATATACATATATATATATATACATATACATATATATATATACATATACATATACATATATATATATATATACATATATATATGTATATATATATATGTATATATATATGTATATATATATATATATATATATATATATATATATATATATATATATATATATATATATATATATATATATATATATATATATATATATATATATATATATATTTAAAAAATGTATTTTGTTTCAGGAAGTGAAAAGTGATGTGAAAGGCAAATGATACTCCCAGCTATCATAGTTTAACAAGAATCTGCAAATGCCCATGATTCCAATAATCTTGTTATAATTAAGTATTTTTGGTTTTAAAGGCAATAGTTAGGTTTTGATAAATAAATCATTTTTCAATATTTATTGTTTTTTGGTTTCCTTACTCAGTAAGCGATTGAAAGTTGAAAAATGCAGTGGTGTATATAATGTATTTCAGTAGCGTAGCGAGGGGGCGGGCGGGCGGGGGACATATGTCCCCGGGCGCCGACCTTAGGGGGCGCCAAAATGGGTTGGAAAAGTAAATCGAAAGTTTGAGGGGGGTGCAAATCGAAGGTTTGAGGGGGGGGGGGTGCAAATCGAAATCTTGAGGGGGGGAGTGCAAATCGAAAAGTTTGTTGTCCCCGGGCGCCGGGAAGGGTCACTACGCCTCTGATGTATTTATAGTATTCCCAGCATCATATGTCATTACAGCAGCTGAAGCCCCTTTGAAAAAGCAAAAAAAAAAAAAAAAAAAACTTCGTGTAGATAATCTAGGAAAGTTTTTTTCTTTTTGCTGAGCACTATTTAAGCAAAAAATTTTTTAAAGAACTCCATTGTTTACCAGAAAATGCTGGGAATTAAAAAGTTTAAGAAAATTACTAACAAATAGGGTAATAAAAACCTACGAACTATCTAAGCATAGATTGAGTGTTGCATGTAAGTCAAATCAACTTTGATGTTGTTAATTGCCACCCTGGCCAAAATTGGCCTTCATTGAGATTTGCTGAGGTAGGCAACTTTTTTGTTTAAGTTTAGATGTCGACTAAATAGAAAAGAAAAACTGACAAGACAATATCGAAACCAAGAATTGTATGTGGGTCGGTTAAAAAGTCCCGATATCATAATCTCATAGTCGATGTCATGATTTAGACCAGGGGTGGGCTAAGTGCGGCCCGCGAGCCAAATGTGGTCCCCCACAAGGTTTTTTGTAGCCCGCCAGACAATCAGAAAATCCCGCCTTGAACTGAGATTTGCTTAATATCCGTGACCGAAAGTTTGTCTCGTATTTTTTAGCGCAATTTCAAATAAACCGGGAGTGATCTCCCCTAAACTTTCTCGAATATTCTAATATAACACTACGGGGGATGGCAACTCGGGATATAGACTTCTAGACATGATTTTTAATCCGATTTTAAATACTCAAATTTTTAAAAATAGAATATAATCTCGTAGAAAAAAGAAATGCACACCAAAGGAACGCTAAATAAAGATGTGCATAATAGTGCGCAATATTATTAGTACTTTATAAATTTACATGCGTTTTTTGAGAAATCGGAAATAGCGTAAATAAGTACTTCCGGTCAACGGAAATTACTCAAAATTTGACAGAAGGTAGAGAATTAGATCTTTTACTTATATATCGAATTTCATTTATCTATCTGAAATAGTACTCAAGTTATAGGCTTTTGAAAAATTCAAAGTAGAAAAAGTACCACTTTCGGTTATCGGAATTCGCTCAAAAGTTGATACGGATCTACGATTTTGATAAAATACTTATATATGAAATTTCATCAACCTAGCTGTAACGGTACTCAAGTTATCGTGTTTACACACACACAGACACACACACACACACAGACATACGGACAAGATTGCAAAATTATGTTTTTCCGTATCAGTGAGGTGTAAAACGTGGAGATTTGTAAAAATCTCGATTTTTTTTTTTTGCACGATTACAATACTTTCTCTATACTTCGTATATACGAGAAAGTAAAAAAGAAAAATTGCGTTTAATAATGCGTCATTTCTGGATGGATGTATGGATGTGTGTTCGCAGCTTTAAGTCGTATCTCCTCCTCAACGAAGCAATATCGAGGACTAGTTCCAAAAGCAATTATGTTAAGCAAGTTACGAGGATGATAGTGGGCCAAAAATATTCCGGAATTCCTTCCTGGATTTCCCAGAAAAGCCAAAAAACCTCGAAAACATGTAGTTTTTTGGCCTATATCTCGGCAACCAGACCACTTAGCAACTTGAAACATTTACCAATCGATTCCTGCCATAATTTAGAACAATATTGCCGAAGAAAGTTTTCAAAAATATTCTTTCGTTCGGTCACAATTTTTTTTTTAAACTTACATTATACATAATACACTACAGTACTATATAGCAATATAGTTATTTGACTAAAAACCATTGCGCGCCTACTGAACGTGATGGCGCTGCCATGGAACGTGATGACGCATCTATTGAACGTGATGACGATTTGAAATTGTTATGGATAACATAAGGAAATTGCGCTTAAATTGTCACTAGACTTTTTAATTAACTTGTTTAAGGAAATCGGAAATAGCATAAATTACTACATTAGATCGTTTACTTTTCTGTGAAATTTCGTTAATCTATCTGAAATAGTAGTCAAGTTATAGGCTTTTGAAAAACTAAAAGTAGAATAAGTTCCACTTCCGGTTATCGAAAATCGCTGAAAATTTGAGACATACGGACAGTATTGCAAAGCCCAGTTTTTCCGACTCAATTACGCATAGAACGCTGAAATTTTGATAAATCAGCATTTATTATTTTTGCCCGATTAAAATAAGTCCCTACTCCGTATAACATGCTGCCTATTGGAGAGAGTGGAGGGGAAGGGAGAATTAAGGGAAACTACAGAAACGCGGCCTTTATCGGAAATTACGTTTAGGTCCGCGCAATTACGTTCTAATCAACCCAAAGACAGTTAATCGCCCACACGCTGTGATCTTGGGATGGTTCGCTCAAGCATTCCTCTTCATTTAAAGCGTTTTGTGTCTAAAAGCATCGTCCAGATGAACTCTGGTATTTAACTGCATTTTCCAATTGTCAGCTGGTGTTTTCCGGTTTCTTCTCCCTTTGAATCACGTACTAATCGGTACTCCATTTAGTATTAGTCATGTAGTTATCAGCTTACCGACTATTCTGAGTCATGCATTTATCAGTTCTCTTGTCAAATTTAGCTTTGTTTATACCAATGATTTAAAGTGGCGTAGGCTTTGTGTTTAAATTTAAACCAGTTGTATTTTGAGGAACAAAATATCGATAATTTATTCACGCCTACTCAACTTTGAACCGTCTTATAAAATTGATATACATTTTATATCATGCTGCTTTTGGCACGGAGGCTTGTCTGTGCCACTGCTCAACTAGGCGTGCGGGCTTGTTTTTACCCCTGATCTACTTATTGTTGAGGCCTATTATTACCTCTTGTTTTACTTGGCATAGATAGGAGCTTTGATAATACCGGAGCTACAATTTGGGTGTAGGCTTGTCCAAATGTGAGTAGGCTTGAAGTCTACCCAATGGGAAGCGATGGTATTAAATTTATATATGTATAATTCTTTTATCTATATATAAAGTTTATGTTATTCCTTCACGTTGGCATGTGGGCTTTGTTTGTATCAGTGATGCCTCTAGACGTATAGCCCCTTGTAGAGCTCGCTCGATCGATACAGAACTTCTTTATATACTACGGGGCAAGAGTAAACCATGCAGCAACTCGGAAGGTAGGCCTACGTTTCGTTTTGCTTTGTACCTAAAACAAACCTACGTTAACTCACGGGTATAACCTGTAGACGGATATGGCAATTGGTACCTCAAATCAGCGTGGGGACTGTGTAGGCTTAATGTATACTATTTGTATTTCGTGGGGGAAATGCTAATGGTATTAACTAAGCCTACATATTTGTTTAAGGCCGAGGCTATTCCCAGCCGACTGGGAATAGCCTCCACAGGTATTCCAAGTCGGCTTTCACTTCATGCTAAATACGACTGAGAATAATAAAATATCTTACAATAATAAAAGCATTTATTTGACTAGGGAGTGATGTATAGATTAAGAGAGCAATGCTATTTTAATTGAGTTCTATGTTTATAAAAAAAAGTTATTAGATCTAGACAGTTTTAGTTTAGTTCGCTACGTAGGTCTTAGTTAGATGATCAATTATGCACTCTTACTACAATCAATAACAGTAATTTTAATTATTATTTTTTTTTTTGCAAATATGTCAGCAATCACTTCACACACGAAAAAAAAATAACAAAAATAACCCTTTCATGAATAATGGCAAAAACTACAACTTGGACAACAGGTGGCGCACAATAATGTCAAGGTACAAAAGCATTTGACAAGTTCGCACCCGCACCTTATAGCACAACCACCCAGATTATATGTATCAAAACAATCACGACTGTGAATAGCCCTAATACGGCTGTTCCCAGTCGACTGGGAATAGACACTCCGTTTATTTGATGAACTGATGAGCTTTCTTGGAGGTCCGCGAGTTTATTGCCTGCATACGCATTTTTGAGATACCGGAAATAGCGTAAATTACTACTTTCGGTCCACGGAAATTACTCAAAATTTGAAAGATGGCAGAGAATTATATCTTTTATTTACATGTGAAATTTCATTTATCTATGTGAAATAGTACTCAAGTTATAGGCTTTTGAAAAATTGAAAGTAGAATAAGTTCCACTTCCGGTTATCGGAGATCGCTGAAAAGTTGATACAGTACCACAAATTTGTTATAATACTTATATATGAAATTCATCAACCTAGCTGTAACGGTACACACATGCACACAGACACACATGCACACACACGCGAATACATGCGCGCGAAGGCGCGAGCACGCACGCTTGCACACACACACACACATTTGGTCCCTACCCCCTGCACCATCTCGCCACAGTACACGTGCTACGTACACTGGTGCCCCCTATATGGCTATCAAAGGGGAGCAACAAGTCACAAAAGTCATTAAAAAAGATTTTCGTATTTTTTTTACACTAGTTTGTGTAGTGGTTTTTAATGTTTGCGGAGGAGCGTGGTGTAGTTATTGTAAAGTAAAGATAATCGTACCTTAGCTACAGTATATTTTCTTTACAAACTAAACATCAAAGCTAAAATTCTTGAAAATTAAATTTTAGATTTAAAAAATATAAATTATGGTTGGCTGTGGGCGCACTAACCGACGAGCCCCCCCCCCTCCCCGCAACGCTGCGGGGTCTGGCGGCATTGCAGTTCCGCCCCTGGGTATGTTATGTAATTTATGACCATCATGGTCCAGCAGGGTGGAGACCAAAGAGGAATCAGTGCCACTGCCCTCCCCTCAAAATCTCTCACCTCCATGATACCTGATACTCAGCCTCCACTTGTTTCTAACCCGTCATACAACTTCATCTCTTTGTAGGTGATAGGAACGGATTGCTACTCTTAGATCTCAGCCAACCAGAGATAGCATCTCTTATGTAATTTATTACCCACAGGGCCCAACAGGGAGAACAAAGAAGAAATCAGTACCACTGATCTAAATTTAACTAATTTCAGTCGAGTATAAGATACATATTACTGTAATTAAATGAGACACATAGTAGGGAGGCCTAAGTAATTTATTAAAGCCTTCTGCAACAAAGATATCAAATTCTTGCTAGTATAGTCTAAACTTTTAAAAATTAATTTAAGTAGCAGATTCCAGTTCTAAGTCCAGTCATTCAATCTATCTCAGTTTCAGATAATTTTGTTTGCTAAATAAAATTATTAGAATCTAGAATTAAATTTAATTAAATAAGTAGATTCTAAATTCTATGTCTACCTAGCAGAGACAGTCACCCTAAATCTAATTTAGTTTACAAAAATAGGAATAAGAGCTAGATACTAGATCAAAATATTAAATAAATATTCCAATTAAATTTTACAACACTTTTTAAGTTAGGTCTATTGCTATTAGTAGACCTATTTGTGAAGGCTGAGCACATTTGTTTTAATAACAGTTGTCTTTCATTAATTAAAATGAAGTTTATTGTTTACTGTCCCTACCAAAAACAAAGTGTCGAGAACATATTCGCATTTTATTTGTTGATAAATTTTGGCTTAAAATTGACAGCGTCTACGTTCTGTTGAATGCCGATCTTATCACGTTGGTTTAAATATAACCCTTGGCAGCCAAAATAAAGGAATCCCTTTAGATCTGCCACTTCGAGTATCACAACCTGAATATTTTACAGCACAGATCGCCATTTAGAATGCAGACCTGTACACCACAATGGAGGATGTTTACCTGATATTAGCTGTGGTCCACCACTGGTAATCACAAGTAGCTGGGCTGTCAAACTCATGGATTAGCTCCTCCTCTGTCTCAACCTCTGACACTGTTATAGGACGACACTGGAAAAAATTAAATGAAGACCTTTTATAACATAGTAACAATTGCCATTAGTAAATCAACAGTGGAAGGGACTATACTCTAACAACATTTTGTCCTATTGAATTACATCCCTTAGCTCTCCTTGTTTTTTTAATACTTTTAAATAGAAAAGTGCCAAACTTTTGCAATAAAGTATATATGCATATTGATTTCACAGTATAACAAAAATAAAGGTAATTTTAAACATAATACAAAATTGCACAATTTATTTCTGATTTTAAATTAATTATATTTTTTTATTTTAATATCTGTATCTTACTGCTGTGAAGGAAATAAAATTTTCTATCAAATAAAAATCTTAAAAAGTGGGAACAATAACCATAAAAGAAAGGAAACAAATAATTTCCCCCACCTGTAACAGGTAAATCTCCTCACCAACAACAGCCCACTCTATATCCCTGGGACAGCCATAGTATTTTTCTAGCTGAAAACCACAAGAGATGCTCATACACACAAATATACCTTTATTTCACAATTCTTATTACATCATCTTTGTTTAACTAACTTCAAATTGAAAATGAACAACCCAAACCTCAACTCCAAGTGTTGCTAGGTTTAAAATGAGTTCATCATTGAGAGAAACGACCTTTGACCCCTCCGAAAGAGCTTCCTCTTTGATACCTCCATCTCCTTAAACAAACAAACAAAACATTTCAAACAAACAATTTTAAATTAATGTGGTCAGCACTATGCCAAGCCACCTTAGTTTCTCGAATGTAAGTCGTATACCCATTAGAGCTGGGTGGAATCAGAGATTCAAACCCAACAATTTTGGGTTAGTGATTGTGAGCTCTTCTATCCGACCACACCATCCCCAAATTTTTTTATTTATGTGCCTAATAATTTGTTTTGAAGTCTTTTGTCTCCCCCTTCTGATGTGACTACAAATTAGAAAATTTAGGTTAAAAAAATAAAAATATTTTTTAAAAACTGGCTCAGTGTTGAAAATAAAAAGCTACTATCAAAGTCAAGCAAGTCATTCTGCTGTTACTAACACTAAAAGATGAAACAAATTAAATGTGAATTAATGTATCATTATTTTCTTCATGATTCTTACTTATTTTACTTGACCAATGTATGTTTTTATGGATATTTTTACGTAAGCATTAAAACAAATATTTTACAAAACAAAATGCTACATTGCAACATTTAAGATTAATAATATAATAAAATTATAAAATGTTTTAAAATAAAATAAAACATATTCCTGAACTATCCATACCACATCATATTAAAAAGTATTTTAGTATAAAATAACCTTAACACTTATTTAAATCCGAAACCTAACCCTAATTTAGTATTTGTACAAAGCACCAACCTGTCTCCACAATTTTGATCTTCTTGTCACCAGCCACCACAGAACCAATCACCAATTTACTGGTGTCATGTATAAACTCAGGGTGTCGCTCCACTGTGATGGTGTCAGGGTTAGAAATCCCTGACACCACAGACTCGCCCAGGCCAAAGTTGGCGTTGATGACGACATGACTGTTGCTGCCGGTCAGGGGGTCAGCTGTAAACATCACACCTGTGAAGAAATATTACCTACATGAAAATAACGAGCCATTTAAAAACAGGATAATTTGCAAAGCTTTGTGAATATTTTAAAGCTAAATACATGTATACATACAATACATTTTATGTCCATTCTATTGTGTTACATAGTATAATAAAACATTTCTTGTAGTTAGTGGTAAAAAAGTGTTTGAATACAAAGATAAGATTTTTTTTTCTTTAGACATAATGCAGAGCCTAATATTTTTTTGTCAATAATAACTTGTTAAAATTGCTTGTTTATAAAGATATTCTTAGTTTGGAAATACAGTATTCTAAATAATGTTTCTATTTTTAGGAGATTTTTACAGAACTTTATTTACATAACCTTGAATTTTTAACATAGGGCTATGCATACTATGCCAAAGAAAATGATACAAGTAGTAAAAAAATATTTATGGACAACAATTTTTACCAGCTGTAGTTTTAAATGAAACACAAACACCGAGTCAGTATATAAGTAAATATTCAACAAAATAACTTGTTACATAAATGTTTAAGAAATCAAACCAAATAGCAATGTTAAAAATCATTTTTTTTTAAAATGACATTTTCGTTTTTATATACTACGTCCAATTTAAATATTTAAATTACAAAGGGAGATAACCTTCAACTATGTTAAACATTTTAATAAAAATACAGAGATATTCAATAATTAAAAAAACAACAGAAAATTTATATCATTGTTTTATTTAATAAAGCATTAATATTTAAGTCTATACATAATTTCTTGTCTAATCTTTATATTTTAAAATATCAGAATTATTGTTTGATTTTAGCTTAAAACAAAAACCATTCAGCATATTAAATATCTAAATAATTAAAATATTATATGACTGTTTAACTAAGTAGTGATTGAGCTCACTTGGTCTGCTTGAGTATTTAATTTATTGTCTTAAACTATCTCCCTCAAAGCAGCAGTGTATGCATGGGGAGCAGGTAAAGAAAGTGGAACCCTTTTCTCAGAAATTAATTAAATAAAATTTTAAACAACTTTGGCCAAATAACTCACATCATAGGCAGTGCTGGACAAATGTAGTTTAAAGAACTACAGCATTTTCTTAAAATAAAGCATGATATGTCTCAGATGCACAATTAAATAAGTTTAATTTAGTATGAATTTAATGACACTGCTGGTTCTACAAACATACATGTGGCCTGGTCCATATGGACCATAATGACGGTAAATATTAGGGGTGAGTAAGATGAGGGTGGAAAAATGTCAAACAATGTAGTTTTTTTAAAAGGTAGGCACAATAACACACAGTTTGGAAATAGCTGGGCTAAAACAAGAACAATCATCCAAAACAAGAATAATCACCTAAAAAAAGCCATCACCCAAAAAAAAACCATACTGTCATTTAACACTAAACACAACACCCCCCATGTAATAAATCTTCACTGACCTGCTGACTCTGCAGGTACCATCTCCTGAATGACCACACCTATGAGGACATTGACTGGCTGACCATGTTGTCTGCGGTACTCAACAGCCTGGTGGGTGAAAGCTGAGGCCCAACATTTTTTTACTGCTTGCAGAATCTGTCACACAAGTAAACAACAGTAATTTGTTTTTACTGCTAGCTATATCTTCCACTCAAATATTTTACTGATTGATAAATCTAGAAAAAATAATTTTATTAAAAAAAAAACTGCTTGCAGAATCTGCCACAAAAGTAAACAGTGGTAATTTTTCTTACTGCTAGCTCAATCTTCCACTCAAACAATATTTGACTGATAAATCTACAAAAAATAATTTTATTAAAAAACAAACTGCTTGTAGAATCTGACACACATATGAACAACAGTAATTTTCTCTTTGCTAGCTTAATCTCTTGATACATTCTGTTTGTTTACAAACTGATATGATGGAAAAAATATTACCAGTTTGTAATATTATTTAGGTTACATTAAAAAACACCTGCATAATGTACATTATAACTACCTGTATATGTAAAATAACACCTGTATAAGGTACATATAATACAAACTATCTGTATATGTAAAATGCTACCGCCCCTAGTGTAAATACGTAAAACAAAACTTTCTTGTTTGTAAGTAGCATCTGTTAATATATTTTTAAAAGAAAAAAAAAACTTACCTGAGGTAGCCCAACAACTCCTAGAACTGTGTCCATTTGACCAGCAGAAGATGCTTCATCTCCATCTTCACCTGAATGAAATTTTAGGAAACATTTGTTGAGACATTCAAAGTGTTATCTGGGTGAAATTTTAGGGAACATTTGTTGAGACATTCAAAGTGTTATCTGGGTGAAATATTAGGAAACATTTGTTGAGACATTCAAAGTGTTATCTGGGTGAAATTTTAGAGAGCATTTGTTGAGACATTCAAAGTGTTATCTGGGTGAAATTTTAGAGAGCATTTGTTGAGACATTCAAAGTGTTATCTGGGTGAAATTTTAGAGAGCATTTGTTGAGACATTCAAAGTGTTATCTGGGTGAAATTTTAGAGAGCATTTGTTGAGACATTCAAAGTATTATCTGGGTGAAATTTTAGGAAACATTTGTTGAGACATTCAAAGTGTTATCTGGGTGAAATTTTAGGAAACATTTGTTGAGACATTCAAAGTGTTATCTGGGAGAAATTTTAGAGAGCATTTGTTGAGACATTCAAAGTGTTATCTGGGTGAAGTTTTAGGAAACATTTGTTGAGACATTCAAAGTGTTATCTTCTACAACTACATTGACAATGCTGGTTCCATGACAAATAATCTCAGACAAAATATCCCAGACAAAAGATCTCAGGACAAATGACCACAAGGACAAATGATCTCAGACATAATATCTCACAGCAAAATATTTATTGTATTTCGGAGGATTTTAGTTAATTTTTTATTTGTCAGGTTGATATTTTGTCTGAGATCATTTGTCTTGTCACCACAACGCTAAATAAAAACTGTCACATATACGCAACTTATCTGGTCTTCTGTGTGTAATAAAAGCTTAATTTATTTCTTCTCCACATGTTTGGGTTTTAATAACTTCACATGGAAAATTGACAAAATCAATCAATGACTCAATACTACAGTATACAGTTAGTTTGTTGGTGTTTAATAAGTTTGATAAAACAACTGACAGTTATAACATTCAAGTTACTCAATAAAAAAATGTCACAGCCAGGCATTAACACAGTAACTCATTGTTATAGTTCTGGTGGAGTTACAATGGTTAATTTTCAAGTAAAAACAAAATAAAGATTCCTTTATAGACCTAGAGATCAATTGGGCAGATGAATTAGTTCATGTTTATTGACCTCAGCAGATGAAGGGATAATTTGATCAGCACTATGCCCAGCCACTTTTACTTTCTCTAACGTGAGTTAGGTCCCCATTATAGCTGGGTGGACTCAGGGATGCTCCACTGACTTAAACCCGGGTTTGAACTCAAGACTTTGGGTTAACAGTCTAGTGTTCTATCGCTAGGCCACACAGTCATATTTAATTTTAAGGTATATTTTCTAAAAGTATATTTGTTGTATAAAATAACAGGATTACAGGTGGGGTATATGTGGAACGGAGTGGTCTAGCGGTAGAGAGCTGGACTGCTAACCTGTAAGTCTCGAGTTCAAATCCTGGTTCAAGTCAGTAGACCGTCCCTGAGTCCATCCAACTCCACGTTAGGGAGAGTAAAGGCGGCTGGGCATAGTGCTGACCACACTATCTCTTCATATGCCGAGGTCACAGAAACAGGTGAACTCTACTTCACTTGCCCCATAGACCGTCAGGTTTGAAAGGGAAACTTTACTTTTTTACAGGTGGGGTATGCCTAACCAAAGAGTGTCTTACAGTACCTGCAACAGTTTACGCTTCAATGATCACTGCACCTACTTGCAATAGTTTACGCTTCAATGATCACTGCACGTACCTGCAACAGTTTACGCTTCAATGACCTTGGCACCTACCTGCAACAGTTTATGCTTCAATGACCTTGGCACCTACCTGTAACAATTTACGCTTCAATGACCTTGGCACCTACCTGCAACAGTTTACGCTTCAATGACCTTGGCACCTACCTGTAACAATTTACGCTTCAATGACCTTGGCACCTACCTGCAACAGTTTACGCTTCAATGACCTTGGCACCTACCTGTAACAATTTACGCTTCAATGACCTTGGCACCTACCTGCAACAGTTTACGCTTCAATGACCTTGGCACCTACCTGTAACAATTTACGCTTCAATGACCTTGGCACCTACCTGCAACAGTTTATGCTTCAATGACCTTGGCACCTACCTGTAACAATTTACGCTTCAATGACCTTGGCACCTACCTGCAACAGTTTATGCTTCAATGACCAATGCACCTACCTGCAACAGTTTACGCTTCAATGATCACTGCACCTACCTGCAACAGATTATGCTTCAATGATCAATGCACCTACCTGTAACAATTTACGCTTCAATGATCAATGCACCTACCTGCAACAGTTTACGCTTCAATGACCACGCCACCTACCTGCAACAGAGGACCTGACCGCCAAATGAACACTCTGGTAACCCGCACCAAAACAGACTCGCAGTGACTCTGTGATACTTTGTTTGACCACATCACAGATCTCTGTTGAGGTTATGGCTTGTACAGCATCATCACATATGGACACCAAATCTGCACCTTGTAGACTAAAAAGCACAACATTTAAATAATTCATGTAGATGCTATATGACATGTAAATCATTAAAATAACTTATTACTAGTTGGAAATTATTAAACTAAATCAATTTAAAAATAACTAATATTGAATTTAGGTTTATCTGATAAAATTAGCTTACTAATATTTTTCAGCAACAGTTTTAACAGCCTTCGACATTATAGGCTGATTCTACAATAAAAAATAAACAGATAAACTGGTTATATATTTATTTAAAATCATGAATAGTTAGTATTTAAAGGTTGTGAGCGTTAGCTCTTAAAATCAAAAACATCACTACAATACCTGATAACAATGTAAATAATGTACTCTAAATAATGGTCTAAATTTTTAGTCCTACTTTAATGAAAATTTATCCCATGCTGAAACAATAGTTGAGTTTAAATCCAGGTTCAAATCAGTAGAATGTCCACCCAGCTCTTATGGGTATTTAACTCATGTTAAGGAAAAAAGGTGGCTGGGCATAGTGCTGACCACAACATCCCTTTCATATGCCAATTTCACTGAAACAGATAAACTCTACTTCATCTGCCAAATGTGTCTTGGGTGCGAATGGGAAAAGATAAGAAAATAATTGTAGACTTATCTGAGAATAGTCAGAGGCTCAAAAAAATTGAGTTGGGAATTCGGAAATGATTGTGATTTTGTTTGTTTGATAATTTCAAATTCCTTCAATTTTATTCAAATGCTTCATAAGAAGAGCATAGTTCTTTTCTTATTATGTAACTTTCTTTACATCTCAGAGTTGGATATTTCTGTTCATATTTTCTAAGCCAGTAAAATCATTTTCCAAGAAACTGAAGCTAATTCTTCTATAGTCCATCTACATATGGTATTGAAACAGCACTTGACTGATACTTATATTTCTGTCGTAACATAGCCTGAATGGCAGCAATAGAAAGTATAAATTACCTGTAGCTGTACCTCAAAGGACCTCAGTGTTAAACAGAATCCAGGAGTAACACTTGCTTTTACCTGCATTATTAAATACATATTTATGTTTTAAATCTATAACTTATATTAATATTTTCAAATTTAAAAAAGGTACTGTTTTTTAAAGAGATGCCTAGAAAAAAAGGTATGTCCCCTTACATTTTCTTTACGTTTTCTAAAGAGATGCTAGTAAAAAATTATGTCCCCTTATATTTTCTTTACTTTTTTCTAAAAAGATGCCTGGAAAAATATTTTACCCCCTTACAATTTCTTAATTTTTTTCTAAAGAGATGCCAGGAAAAAAATTTATTTCTTCTTACAGTTTCTTTACTTTTTTCTAAAAAGTTACCAGGAAAAAATTATGTCCCCTTACATCTTCTTGCAGTGCTGTAAGCTGAGCTAACTGAGCACCTTTTCCACCAACTAAAGCTGAAGAGCTACATGCTGGGTGTGTAAATGGCAGAGTAATCCTCCTTTCATTCTCTTTAACAAAGCATGTAGATGGCTCTTCAACCATTTTATAAAAAGGCTGGGTACTAGCTAGTGGGGGTCCATGTGAGTTTCTGTAACAGAATGAAACATTTTTCCGAGCGTTAAAATGTAAGTGATGCGTGATTTCTTTAAAATAAAATATCATAATCTTAAAAATATATCCTAGCTTTTAATAGCTGATTGGACGGTGTGGTCTAGCTGTAGAGAGCTGGACTGCTAACCCATAAGTCTTGAGTTCGAATCCGGGTTTAAGTCAGTAGAAAGTCCCTGAGTCCACCCAGCTCTGATGGGTACCTAACTAACGTTAGGGAAAGTAAAGGCGGCTGGGCATAGTGCTGACTACACTATCTCCTCATATGCCGAGGTCACAGAAACAAGTGAACTCTACTTCACTTGCCCCATAGACCGTCAGGTTTGAAAGGGAACTTTACTTTACTTTACTTTAATAGCTGAGCACATAAAAGGTAAACAGTATAAAAAAATATTAAACCATCTCAACTCAAGGTTGTCAAGATTATTTCAGATCTTATTTTAATATTTTAAACTCTTTTATTTATAAACATAAATTTAACACAATTGAAGCCCCAAGGAAGGGTGTATACATAAGAGATATTATCATACTTCATTTGAATGAAAAATAATGATTAAATTGATTAAACATATCTGCTGATGTAAGTTACCTGTAGAAGTATTCACTGATTCCTCTCCCTTTATGGGAATTCACAGTAAACTTTGTGAACGCCTCCATTACTTTACCTCCCCTGTCTTCATGATGGTACCAAACTGGAGTTGTCCCCCTTGTTGCAACTATGTTATAAACTTGACCGTCTATTTCAAATAGGAAAGTTTTTTTATTTACAATTAAGTAGTTAATTAATAATAAAATATGTTTATATTGATATGTTAAAAGCCAAAAAAAAATTGTACTTGATTAATTAAGTATTAAATTGCTCAAAAGTATTTTAAATGTACTTAATTTTTTCTAACATTTTAATAATTTGAAAAAAAAGTGTTTAAAGATATTTTTAAAATTTCAAACTTGAATGTACTACTGGAAAAAAAAGGTAAAGTTTCCCTTTCAAACCTGACGGTCTATGGGCAAGTGAAGTAGAGTTCACTTGTTTCTGTGACCTCGGCATATGAAGAGATAGTGTGGTCAGCACTATGCCCAGCCGCCTTTACTTTCCCTAACGTGAGTTAGGTACCCATCAGAGTTGGGTGGACTCAGGGACGGTCTACTGATTTGAACCCGGATTCGAACTCGAGACTTACGGGTTAGCAGTCCAGCTCTCTACCGCTAGACCACTCCGTCCCACTACTGGAAAAGAAGAACTAAAAATAAATTTTAGTGCATTAGATATGAGCTTGGAATTGCCAAAAATAGGATAACCTGCAGTGAAAGAAAATTGCCAAGATGGTGGTGGACCTGTTTCCTCTCCAACCTCCCATAACTTCAGGCTGACGTCTGTCACTGACACAATGTCACCATTAGGATATGACACATAGCCAATCTTCACACTAAAAATATACAATTTGAGATGTCTTCTAACTATATTCAAGTCATAAAAACTTATTTAGTAATTCATGTTTGTGAAATCCATCTTTTACAAATCATTAACGCTGAGCATAAACTTAACATAATTTTATTTTTGCATTCTACTAAGTAGCCCCTCATAACTCAACAAGCATTGAGTCGCACACAATTTTATTTTACCAGTCACTTTCTTAATAACACCCCTCTCCCTGTCATCTTTATTAAAAAATCTTTCCCAATTCTCATGTTTCAGATATTACCCACCCAGATATCCGAAGCATCACCCTTCCACTATTTGATATTCTTACTTGCATCAATCTGTTACTAAATTGTCTGTACTAAAATTATACAAGTTTCAGTTCTGATTGCAAGTTGAAATCACTTACTGTGCCATCAAATTGGGCTGGGAAACTATCCCCACCTGAATGGTCATCCCTGTCTGGATAAAAGATAGGAAACTAGAATTTCTTGTTTAGTTGTTGACCCAAATTAATTTACTCAACTACAAATTTGTTTGTAGAGATTTTTATCCCACATGATTTTGATTCTTCAACACATCATCACAGTTGAAATTTCATTTGTACAGACTTACTTACACATGATTTATATTTATCCACAGAACTAAACATCATTTACACAGCTAAAATTTTGTTTATAAAGATATATTTACACATGGTTTACATTTCTAGACAGATCTAAAAATAATTTACACAGCTAAAATTTTGTTGGTATATACTTATTTACACATAATTTACATTTCCTCAGAATAATTAAACATCAGTTACACAGCTGAAAATGTGCTGGTACAGACTTATTTACCAATGATGTAAGTACATACCTCGACATAAATAAACATGATGATATATCTATGGATATCTCTCCAGTCACGAGTACCTGTGATGACAAATATAAATTTTATAATATAAAATATATATTATATAAATTTATTTATAAATTTTTTTACAAGAATGCAAAATAAATTAAGGTTTCTATATAGTCAAGTTTCATTCTCTTCTTCTTCTTCTTAATCCCGTTCGTGCCCAAGACACATGGGGCAGATGAAGTAGAGTTCATCTGATTCAATGACCTTGGCATATGAAGGGATAGTGTGGTCAACACTATGCCCAGCAGCCTTTGTTTCCCTAATGTAAGTTAGGTACCCATCACAGCTGGGTGGGCTCAGGGACGTTGTACTGATTTGAACCTGGATTTGAACTCTTGGATTAGCAGTCTAGCTATCCATCGCTAGGCCACGCCCTCCCCAAAGTTTCATTATACCCTGACATTAAAATTAAATTATTTATGTAAAAAAAAAAACAGAACTGGCCATATTATCACAGAAAGACCAATTAAATTAGTGTATAACAAACAGCAGGTGGAGCAGTGTGCTTCGACAATAATGAAAATTGCCAAAATAAAGAGGTGTACTACTACAACACGGTTGGTTATATGAAGTTGTGACTACAATAAAAAATCAGCCTGGTAAACAGTAAACTACAACACAAATTGGTCAAATAGATGGCGTAATTAAAAATAAATTGGCCATATAAAATAGTTTATTACAGCATACATGGCCATATTATATAAAACAGTATATTACAACACAGCCATATAAAACTCTACTCCAACATACATGGCCATATAAAACTGTATTACAACACACTTGACCATATAAAATAGTGGACTACAACATACATGACCTTATAAAATGGTGCTTTACAATGTACATAACCATATAAAACAGTGTATTACTACATACATGGCCAAATAAAACTGTATTACAACACACTTGGCCATACAAAACAGTTTACTACAAAATACAAGGCCATATAAAACAGTGCTTTACAATGTACATAACCATATAAAACAGATTAAACATACAAGGCCATATAAAACAGAGTAAATACACATGGCCATATAAAACTTAACTACAATATACATAGCCATATAAAACAGTGTATTACAGCATACACAGCCAGTTAAATATTGTATTACCAAAAGTGTGATCCCGGACACACTGTAAAGACATGACCTTGTCCTCGTAACCTTCCACACACACCTTCCCCCTCAGTTCCCCCCACTGTTCATAATGGCTCTGGTGGTTGCTGGGGATAAAAGCATTGTGACCTTTCAGACTAGAGTTCCCATGAGACTGATGAAGCAGGGTTTTTTAACCTCAGATTATAAAATGATAGTGTGTTCAGCACAAGGCCCAGCTGATGTCTTTTCTTTCCCAAAGACAAGTGGGGAATAATACTTTTATTTCCAGGAGATAAGGTCAATAAAGGAAAAACCCTTCTGTCATAATGTTATAAGAGACCGCTCCTACATAGGACATTAAAACATAACTTGAGACATTTTTTAGCGCAATTTCCATTCTGGAGAATTGCGTTTATTAACCCGTCATTTCTGGATGGATGGATGGATGGATGAATGTATGGATGTGTGTCCGCAGCTTTAAGTCGTATCTCCTCCTCAACGAAGCAATATCGATGACTAGTTACAAAAACAATTATGTTAAGCAAGTTACGAGGATGAACATAGGCCATAAAAATTCCGGGTTTCTTTCATGGATTTCCTGGAAAAGCCAAAAAAACTCGAAAAAAAGCAGTTTTTGGCCCATATCTCGGCAACCAGACCATTTAGCGACTTGAAACATGTACCAATCGATTCCTGCCATAATTTAGAACAATATTGCCGAAGAAAGTTTTCAAAAATATCCTTTCGTTTGGTCACAAAAAATTTTTTGAATTAATTAAAATTTGGACCGAATTAGTATAGGCATTTTATGCAACCACACCACACGCGTCATCACGTTCAATAGCTGCGCCATCACGTTCAATGGCTGCGACGTCACGTTCGGTAGCTGGGCGCGCAATGGTTTTTAGTCATGTTACTCTATTGTAAATAAAACATGTAAAATACTGAAAAAAAATTAATATAAAACGTTTTAATAACTAACCAATGGTTTTACTAACCCTGCTCTTGATTTACGCTACGACAGAGCTATTTTTAGATAACACAAGGAAATTGCGCTAAAATTGTCACTAGACTTTTTTTAATTACTTGTTTTTAATATCCTCAGTTGGGTACTTATTTGAGCTGAGTGGACTCAAGGATAAACTGCAGACTCAAGCAAAGAAAACTTAAGCCTTTTGGTTAGCAATCACACCATTCAACCACTCAACTGTGCTTAAATGGCATGTGTGTGATATATTTTTTGCCAACAAATTTGCTGGTATTTCATTTTGAATATAAAATTTTAGCAGTCGTAATTTTTTTCAACATAACAACTGCCTCTGGTTTTAGGAAAGAACAGAAAATGGCTACATTTCATAACAGTAAAATATAAATAATATTATTGTTGAGTTTGCATTAGTATACACAGTAATTATAACCAGTGTTTCTTTCAGAATTTTTTCTGAGGGAGGGGGCACTTGATATTTTCAGGGAGGGGGGGGGACTAAATTTTCCGAAGAGGCAGACACTGGTAAAAATATATATTTTCTATACAAACTCCATTCATCATTCCAGGAAATGGTAGGCTTTCTTCGGGGGGGGGGGGGGGGAGATGCCGGGAAGAAACTATGATTATAACTGTCTATTAACAAAACAGATGATAGCTAAAACCATTTTTAACTTTTTCTGCTTCATTTTTAATTTCCATTATTCCCCCTCTGAATATTAAACTTTTTACTAAACACTGTATTTTTTACAAGTTTTAAAACCTATTATCATTAATTAAGTAGGTAGTGGCACTTACTTTTTTAGCTTCTGGAAAAAGCTCCTGCTCCACTCCTCTCTTGCTATGCTATCTCCTAGCACAGAAGAGGCCATATCAGTGTCAAAGTTGAAAGGTTGAGAGAAAGCACTCCAGCTGAAGTGAGATCAATTAAAAGCTTAGACAATTAATCATTGTTGAAGTGAATTTGTGTTTAAAAATGGTCAAAAAGATTAATCACTCAACCGGGATGGAAAATGCTTTTGCTGATTAAGATGGACCAGATAATTGTCTTTTAGGGATTGCAAGCTACTCATCGGGGTTTAAAGCATTTATTATTTTAGTCGTAGCACACATGGTGTCAACTTCATTTTTAAATTTGCAGTTGAGCTGCTTAACACTATCAATCGGTGTCAACCAAACTCTCTCCCATATTTTGTTGAATAAATCACTGACTAAATAGTTCATCAATCTTTTTTGTATTGTAATACTGAAAACAAAACTCAAACAAAAAGCCAGACCTTAAAGCAATAACTAGCCTCTTATTTAATACAAACCAATCATAACTTACCACTAACCTTACTCTAAATCTAACCCTTACCATAAAGATTAATGTGATATGCTAGACTTAAGCTGACATTTGTATGGTAACTTACGTGAATGAGAAATGTGTTTCCAAGAACTCTTCTGGTTTGTTTATAACATCATTGCACAGTCCTTTCCTGCATATAGAAAAAAAGAAACCTTTGTTGTTACAATTTTTGACCTCAGAAAAACTCCAAACAGAGCAAGCATTAGATTGACTATTGCTAAAACCTAACCCTCTATGATTTATCAGGGGTAGCTTTATTGTTTAGTTTAATGGTATACCATTACATAAGATATGTGGATGTGTTTACTTTAATGATGTATACCATAACATATCATTTATGGATGTGTTAAGTTTAATGATCTATACCATTACATATGATTTATGGATGTGTTAAGTTTAATGATGTATACCATTACATATGATTTATGGATGTGTTAAGTTTAATGATGTATACCATTACATATGATTTATGGATGTGTTAAGTTTAATGATGTATACCAGTACATATGATTTATGGATGTGTTAAGTTTAATGATGTATACCAGTACATTATGATTTATGGATGTGTTAAGTTTAATGATGTATACCATTACATATGATTTATGGATGTGTTAAGTTTAATGATGTATACTATTACATATGATGTATGGATGTGTTAAGTTTAATGATGTATACCATTACATATGATTTATGGATGTGTTAAGTTTAATGATGTATACCATTACATATGATTTATGGATGTATTAAGTTTAATGATGTATACCGTTACATATGATTTATGGATGTGTTAAGTTTAATGATGTATACCATTACATATGATTTATGGATGTGTTAAGTTTAATGATGTATACCATTACATATGATTTATGGATGGTTTCTCTGTGTTTAAATTTGGGCAGATAGGAAGAAAAGAAATTGTGCAGAGTGGAAGAAATAAAATCTGGACAGATTGGAAGAAATAAAATCTGGACAGATTGGAAGAAATAAAATCTGGACAGATTGGAAGAAATAAAATCTGGACAGATGGGAAGAAATAAAATCTGGGCAGATTGGAAAAAATAAAAGAATCACCCCACCAGGGATGTAAACAAGAAAAAAGACAATCAGAAAAACCAGGAGAAGTAACTTCCAGAGTGACAGAAGGAGGTCAGATTACCACTAGGGGCACTTAGAGAAACTCAAGACTGAGTAGTCTGAAAGACTTTTGTTTGTAGCCTATGTTCAATAGGGATGATGGTCAAGATTGAGTAGTCTGAAAGACTTTTATTTGTGGCCTATGTTCAAGAGGGATGATGGTCAAGATTGAGTAGTCTGAAAGACTTTTGTTTGTGGCCTATGTTCAATAGGGATGATGGTTTAAATAAAAACTACAATGTTGACAAACCATCTTAAAAACTTTGAACACATTTTGTACACAACAAATTTACTCTATCCCAAATCATTTTAAAAAATAAAAAAGACTAGCCTTAACTTTCCGCTGTACGAAATCTTCCATTTCTTCATGGGCTCTATGACATCAAACACCAGACCCCCAGCCTGATACCTTGACCCATCTGTGTAGCTGACCTCTGTGTCTGGGTGTCTGGGGAACTGCAGGCAACCAATGCCAGGAATTTCTAAAAATAGCCAGATCTCAGCCATTCTGTTGTGACGTCTAGCCAGACGACACACTATGTTGGCACCATCTTTGCTGGTGGCGCCAAAGTAGCAGCAGTCAATGGCCTGGTTAGATGAAAGTATACTTATACCTACATAAGTTTTCAATGCAAGATTTTAAAAACTTTTTTTTTTCTTGTTGCTAAAAACAAACTAATTTCAACTGTTTTTTACTTAATTTTCTTACATCATAAAAATATATCAACAAAACGTGTACCAATAGTTGAACTCTGATTAAAATATAAAAAATCAAATTTGAAAAACTTATATACTGATAAGGAATCCATCCCAAATTGAACAAATAAATATAGAATTTTAGGATAAGAATTGTGTCAAATTTTTAATCTTTTATTATAAGGAAAGCTTTTATTTTAATTTTAAAAAAACATATTTTGTTTGTTGATTTCAAATTTTCAACCTCATTTAATCTCTCAAAAATTAATCACATTAAAAAATAAGAATAAAAATAAGAAACAAAACATTAGAATAGTGTTTTGAAAATAACTGTAACCATTGCTTATGGGTCCTAATTCACTCCTCTCCTAGTGCATGCTACATTAAAAAATAAACTTTTCTATCTTTTCATGTATGTATTATGTATGTTTGTTTACGTACGCCTTATGTATGCTTGTTTAAAATGTAACCATCTAACTTACAAACACTTTATACTTATGCTGTAAACACTAGCAGTGAAGCCAATAAGTGACTTACATGTTGGTGGCTAGACAAAGGCTGAGGGGCTTCCATATGATTGTAGCTATACCCCATGCCATACCCTCTGATACTGTCCACTCCCACAGCAGATCCATTGCGCTTTTCCTTTCTACAAGATCGCAGTTTGAATAAGATGAAGAAGATCAACCTTTTCAGCCAGTAGCCACGACCTAACAGCATGGTGATTAGAAAATATGAGCCATAAAAAATATTTCAAAAGCCTATCAAAACTGTTTTAAGTAAACATTAATTACTGAAAATATTGTAAATAAAGCAGTGCCTAAGCCCAAACACAAAAAATCAAGACCTTAAATAATAATTTTAAATTTCTATCGGTGATGTGTTACGAAGTAAGAATCAGAATTTCATAAAACTAACAAATCAAGAAGCTGTAGTTAATTAAATGGATTTACAAGATTTAGTTCACTTTACTAATAGTCAAAAGAGTAAAAACAGTAATTTTACCTGGCATCCTGTACACACCAGCCACAACATTTGGCTTGCTAGTGGAGAAAATATACCAGGTTGCCAGGATGGCTAAACTTGAGTAGATTAGAATAAGAAACATTTCTCCCAAAATGGCTGGTTTGATCTTGAAATAAAACAAAAATTAAAGAAATGAAATAAATTTAAAAAAATCACCATTTAGGTTGGTGTGGCTCTTTAAAATTAATAATTACATTAATATTTTCACATCTTTTGTTTATTTCACTATTGTTAAACTACCACAAAGTGTCACTCTGTTAGGACTAACCCCCCCCCCCCCCCTCTGTGACACTACTGTACTGTGACTACACAATGTAGAATTTATACAATGAAAAATTTGTAAGTAGAACTAGTAGACATAGTTATCCTACACTACACTATTATATCTTAGTTATAACAAAAATAGTCTAGACTATATAGTATATAGTAGCATTTTTTACCCAACCGTTTACCCAATATAATGATGTAGGCCTAAACAGAGTTTCTTCCAGGCATCTCTTCGAGGGGGGCAGTCCCCCCTCGGAGAAAGTTTACCGCCCCCCAACCCCCAAACAAAATGGGATTTATATAGAAAACCTACTTTTACTAGTGTCTGCCCCCCCCCCCCCCCAAAAAAAAAAAAATATCAAGTGCATTCCCCCCAGAGAAAAAAGTCTGGAAGAAACACTGGGCTTAAAACTGCACCTCCTCCCCACCCTTTCACAACATACCCATTGGGTTATAGATTATAGATTAATTTATATAAATTTAACATAGATCTACATTCTATAAACTAGCAGAGAATATCGAATATTAATATAAATATACGATGGTAGGACTATAGTATAGATCTAGTGTTAAATGTGAAGTAGTCATGCAAGTTTGTGAACACTGGATCTAAAATATAGATAACTCTTTAATTATAATTACTATTAGAGAATGTTAAATCGATGGGAGTATGGAATGAATGGCATAAACAGATGACCTGATAACCGGCATGCTTTGCCTAAAAATGAACGAACGTTACACTGTTATTAAACAGTGTTGTTACTTGTTATCGATACAATCCCTATTCTAGTTGTGGACCGACGGCTTGGAGCCGTAAAGTATAGATCTAGTATAAATTATACAACAGCAATTGTACCTAATTATTAATTATTTAATGTAAACAGAAAGTCGATTAATGAGTAGTCTATCCACACTAAACATAGTTTATTAAAATTTTAAACTTACTGTACTTCAAAAGAACTCAAAGTTCGTTCTGCATTAGCCTACTGCTAGAAATGGGACCAAAGTTGTTGATGTTCAGCTGCGGGTGAAGGTTCAGAGGTCACTGCTGGGCCAATCAGGTGTGACACAGAAACCCATGAACTGTAACATGAAGCCTATGTTATGTAAATACGTTACATAATTCTATATATGTGTAGCCTATGTGTAGGCCAAATGGTGACGCTTTCAGTATGCAGAAAGACGTGTTTAGGGGTGTGTAAATAAAATATGACGTCATGTTAATAGTTATTTTATAAATAGAAGCCTATATAATTTTTGTGGGTGTTTTCCACGGGAACAGGACATTTCCCCCCTGTCAATTACCCCCCGGATATTCTCCCCCCCCCCCCCCCCGACATTACCCCCCAGAGTAATTACCCTCCCCCCCCTGTCAATTACCCCCCTGTCAATTACCCCCCCCCCCCCGCCCAGTAGGACATTCCCCCGCCCCCCCCCCCCCCCGGACAGGGTTAGAGTTAGGGTTAGGGCTAGGTTTAGGGCTAGGGCTAGGGCTAGGGCTAGGGTTAGGGTTAGGGTTAGGGTTAGGGTTAGGGTTAGGGTTAGGGTTAGGGTTAGGGTTAGGGTTAGGGTTAGGGTTAGGGTTAGGGTTAGGGTTAGGGTTAGGGTTAGGGTTAGGGTTAGGGTTAGGGTTAGTGTTAGGGTTAGGGCTAGGGTTAGGGTTAGAGCTAGGGTTAGGGTTAGAGCTAGTTTTAGGGTTAGGGTTGTGTCTAGCTTTGGTTTTGCTTTTGTGTGAAGTTTTAGGCTCAGGTGGATGCTTAGGTTTTGGTCTTTTTCTTAAGGTTTGGATTAAAGTAGTATATAGGTATAAAATTCTAGTTAGAGTTAGGATTTTAACTTGAGAGGGGGGGGGGGGGTAATTCCCCGGGGGGGGGGGTAATTCCCCGGGGGGGGGGGGGGTAATTAACAGGGGGGTAATTGACAGGGGGGTAATTGCTCCGGAGGTAAATACGGGGGGGGGAAATGTCCGGGGGGAAATATCCAGGGGGTAATGTCCTGTAGCCGTTTTCCACAACCCCTTACAGTAGACCCATTTCTTTCAAGCTTTTATCCCGTGTGTGTATCAGAGGCATAGTGACCCATTTTGACACCAGGGGTGGATTACCAATTTTGCACCCCCACCCACAATTTATACACAGTTATTTACGTTATCGAACAATTTCCCTTGTTAGTTTTTATTGTAGTGTCACATAATTGATGTAGAACATAGTTTAAGCGCCTTTCTTAGCGTCGGTACCCGGGGCTGGCGCACCCCACCTTCCCCAGCTACGTCTCTGGCGTGTTACAAAGTTACGATATGCATCCAGCTCATTTCCCCCATAATAAAGCATCTATCTCTCACGACAACTAATAAGTTTACAGAGGTCGGCGTGGTCGGGCCGGTAAAGCTTGTGCTTGCTAAACCGATAAGTCCTGAGATCAGTGTTTCTTCCAGACTTTTTTTCTCCGGGGGGCACTTGAAATTTTCGGGGTGGGGGGGGGGGGTGCGGTCAACATTTTTCGAGGCGGGGGGGGGGGGGGGTGGGGGGCACTAGTAAAAGTGTATGCTTACTATATAAAATCCATCTCGTTCGGGGGGGGGGTGGTAGATGAGATGCCTGGAAGAAACTCTGCCTGAGATTAAACCCCCGGGAAAAAAGAGGCTCGATAGCTGGGGACAGCTACCTATCTAGGAGAATAAAACTTCAACATCAAGCAACTACTGCCTTGTAGTTTTTCTTAAATGGACAAAAGCTATGGCAGCAAATCTCAGAAAGAAAAGCACGCCCCCCCCCCCCCAACCCTCAAAAGTTGTCGACATTACTGTCCAGTTTTACCAGGTGTGAGTTTACCTGATTTATTTCCTGGATCAACCTATACTACAGCCAGCTAGTCCTCTATGTACAGTCTAGATCCGTGCCGGCTAGACATTCGCTTTATATCCCCTGACACGGAAAGTTCGTCATTCAGAGGGCGTAAACATTCTCATAAAGGTAAGAATATTTTCTTTGCTAAAAACATGTTTTAACCCGTTCTTTAAGTGTTATAGCACATATATTCTCACACAAAGACATAATATATATATATATATATATATATATATATATATATATATATATATATATATATATATATATATATATATATATTAGAGAGAGAGAGAGAAAGAGAGACAAATACATACGTACATTTTAAAGCTTGTTAAAATGGTTTTCTGCATTTTACTTATCAGTTCAGTAAATTGATGATGGCGCTAATGTGGAACGTAGTTCTGATAATCTCTGGATTTGCATATCTCCAATTGTCAAGTTTTGCGGAGAATGTTAACGTCATGTCTATCTCAGCAGATGAGACGGATCCATCAGAAGGTGTCGCTGTCAATTGTGGTGAGTGTTTGTTCATTTAGGTATTTAGGTGTAGCTGTAAACCTTAGTGAAGTGTGTAAGATTATATATATATATAAATATATATATATATATATATATATATATATATATATATATATATATATATATATATATATATATATATATATATATATATATATATATATATATATATATATATATATATATATATATATATATATACTAGCCGTCCCGGCCAGGCCCTGCTCTGGCTTCTGTGAAAAACCTTTTTGTTAAAGACCATTACCTGTGTGTTTAGTAATCATCATAAACCCGGCATTGCCCACCCAAACCACAACCAACCAAAACTAAAACAACAAAGCGCAAACATAACTCTAACACAATTACAAATACAAACGAAAACAAAACCCTAACAACAAACCCAACCACAACCACAAACACCAATACAAACACAAAGAAAAAACAAACAAAAAAGCAAACGAAAACAAAAACCTAACAACAAACCCAACCACAAACACAAACACCAATACCAACCAATATCAACACACAAAAAAAACAAAAAAGAAAACGAAAACAAACCAAATCCAAACGCAAAACCAACCAAAAACACAAATACAAACCCAAAGAAAAAAACACAAACAAAAACGAAAAAAGAAAGAACAAAAACAAACCAAATCAAACCGCAACAACTAACGCAAACCCAACCTAAACACAAAGAAAACACTAACGCGAACATAAACGCAAAGTGCTCACAGTCTAGCCCGGGGCGGAATCGCCTGTTTTAGCTTAATAAACGACTATAGTACCCCAACTTATTCAAAGCCTTTAGCACTCACTTAAACGAACGCGCCTGTTTCAATTTAATGAACAATTATCATACTCCAAGCTTATCCGTAAAATACCTACAACATTTGCACTTGATCGATCCCCGCTAATTATGTAATTATTTTTTTCCCAACACCAAAACAAAGTAATAAAAAGTAAATTCTTTTCCACTAATGCAATGGTTTTATAAAGGGAAGTAATTGTGTTTTCCTAATTTATCAACGGGAAGTAAGTGCTATAGGACTATATAAAGACATAATTAGAATTTTTGTAAAAGATGATATTTTTTTAAAACTTATGTTTAATGAACATGCCGAAAATTATTACTTTCAGTTTGATAAATGAAAATTATTTCCCATAACTTTCAATATTAATTTTTTAACTCATAAATTTAGACCATAAGGACTTTAATTATCTAACACTTAAATCCATCGAAGATTCACGACAAACATATGCGGTACATACTGAATTGAGCTTTATATATTAGAAGATAAATATAATTTCATATATATATATATATATATATATATATATATATATATATATATATATATATATATATATATATATGCTTTCGTGTATATATATATTTAAATTTAGTTAGTTGTTTAATTAATTTATGAAACTTTAGGTAAGGAGCCGATTACTGTTACATGGACACCTAAAGTACTACAACCCTCAGGGTCTGTTAATGTGACTATTAAATACTATTTACGTAAGTATAGTTTGTGTTTCATACATGTTAGTTAATAGCGATGATTATTATGATGGTTTTATACATAATTTGACTGTTTTTTGTTGCTGTTTTTTACTTTCTCGTACACGCGAGGAAAAAAATTGAAATTAATATTTACTCTATATGTGTGTGAACGAGATAACCTACGTAGGCTACTCAATCAGTTAGGTAGAAGCTATTTGAAATAAAGGTAAAAGATTATATGCTTATGTTTCTTTTAAATTTTGAGTAACTTCCGATAAACCGAAGTGGAAATGGGTTTCTAAAGACCAGTTTATTTGAAACTATTGGTGATTTATTAATTCAAATCGTCGCATACTATATTGTTTTCACTTCGTGAAATTCATTTTTTTTATTCTCCAGCCCACTATCTGAGCTCCGGTATATTCAACGTGAGCTTATATTTCCACGGGGAGGACACGCCATTTCTGGGCTATGCCGACAGGTTTGACTGCGACACCCTAAAGGGTCATACAGGGCGTTTTTCATGTCCGTTTAGCAAAAAACGTAGGTTGATAATATTTAATCACGACATTACCCCCCCCCCAAGTATTTACACCCCGGAGCAATTTCCCCCTGTCAATTACCCCCCCCCCCCCCACCCCTTCAAGTTAGAATCTTCACTCTAACTAGAATTCTACATCTATATTTTACATTAACTCTAACATTAAGAAAAAGAACAAAAACAAGGCATCCACATCAGCCTAAAATTTAACACAAAACCAACGCTAGCCATTGGTTTAAGCCTAACCCTAGGCATAGCTATAGCGCTAACCCTGGCCATAGCTATAGCCCTAACCCTAACCCAAAGCCCCAACCCTAACCCTAGCCAAAGCTATAGCCCTAACCCTAACCCTAACCTTAACCCTAACTATAACCCTAACCCTAACCCTAGGAATAGCTATAACCCTAACCCTAGCCATAGCTATAGCCCTAAATCTAGCCATAGCTGTAACTATAGCCCTCAATCTAACCCTAACCCTAGCCCTAGCTATAGCCTTAACCCTAACCTAGCCATAGCTATAACCCTAACCCTAACCCTAACCCTAACCCTAACCCTAACCCTAACCCTAACCCTAACCCTAACCCTAACCCTAACCCTAACCCTAACCCTAACCCTAACCCTAACCCTAACCCTAACCCTAACCCTAACCCTAACCCTAACCCTAACCCTAACCCTAACCCTAACCCTAACCCTAGCCCTAGCCCTAGCCCTAGCCCTAGCCCTAGCCTTAGCCCTAACCCTAACCCTAACCCTAACCCTAACCCTAACCCTAACCCTAACCCTAACCCTTACCCTTGCCCTTGCCCTAGCCCTAGCCCTAGCCCTAGCCCTAGCCCTAGCCCTAGCCCTAGCCCTAGCCCTAGCCCTAGCCCTAGCCCTAGCCCTAGCCCTAGCCCTAGCCCTAGCCCTAGCCCTAGCCCTAGCCCTAGCCCTAGCCCTAGCCCTAGCCCTAGCCCTAGCCCTAGCCCTAGCCCTAGCCCTAGCCCTAGCCCTAGCCCTAGCCCTAGCCCTAGCCCTAGCCCTAGCCCTAGCCCTAGCCCTAGCCCTAGCCCTAGCCCTAGCCTTAATTTTAACCCTAAACTTGTCCGGTGGGGGGAGGGTAATGGGGTAATTGACAGGGAGACAATTGTTCCGGGGGGGGGGGGGGGTGAATTTCGGGGGAAATGTCCGGGGGTAATTGACGATGTCGATGTCAATGTATCTGTCTCCCCGCCCGCCCATCCACTCATCCACCCACCTACCTTCCCACTCTCTCTCTTTCTCTGTATATATATATATATATATATATATATATATATATATATATATATATATATATATATATATATATATATATATTAATATATTATTTTTCAGTGAAGATTATACTTCCTCCTATACCCATTCCCAATCTGCACATCCTGACCAGTTATCCGGTAGGTAATTTGTGTGGTTGTCTAAATTATCTTGAGTAGCGGTTTTGTAGTCACTCATTTTAAGGTTGCCTCACGAGTATGTTGTTGCACGATTTTATATGTATATATATATATATATCGATGGCCTAGATCGCAAACCGTCTAACTCCGAGAAAAGGTACATTTTACAGGGGAGACAAAAAAACTGATTATTTCATATTTAATTGTTGATCGCTCTACTGGCTTTTGATTTATGTAAAAAAAGAGAACAATTTTTTTTCGAGTTATATGATTATATATAGGCCTATATATATATATATATATATATATATATATATATATATATATATATATATATATATATATATATATATATATATATATATATGAATACATAGATATATTTACATAAATCACATAAATCACTCAAGATCAGATTTCATATTTTACCACCCCCCTTTGTTTCATTGCTACTGTGTTATAAGTCTCTATTGACTCCTCGATATGCTCTAGTTTCAACCAGAGTGTTATATAATAAACGTGTATTGCTGAGTTGCCATTCTGCACCCCATGGCATTTTGTCAGCGCTACACGCCAAAGTGAACCGCTGATCCCGTAGTTTATTTGACTCGACGAAACTGAAACAGAGTGTGAATAGGCCGGAGCCTTTACTTTGTACTTGCTAGCATTGCGGTGCGGGGTAGTCTAACTACATTGTATAATTATTTAATTGTATGGATTTTTCTATTGCATATTTTACACTAGCTGTTAATGTGGAGAGAGAGAGAAAGAATCACTTACTGTAAACTAGGTCGTGTGTTACGTAGCTATGCAGCTGATTGTTAAAGTAAAGTAAAGTTTCCCTTTCAAACCTGACGGTCTATGGGGCAAGTGAAGTAGAGTTTCCTTGTTTCTTTGACCTCGGCATATGAAGAGATAGTGTGGTCTGCATTATGCCCAGCCGCCTTTACTTTCCCTAACGTGAGTTAGGTACCCATCAGAGTTGGGTGGACTCAGGGACGGTCTACTGACTTGAACCCGGACTCGAACAGATGATTGTTACTGTATTTTTAGATTCTCGTAAACGGAGTATAGAGGAAGTATTGTAATTATGAAACAATAGAAATCAAGATTTTGACAAATCTCGACGTTTTACACACCGCCCTAAGTCGGAAAGAGCTAGCTTTGAAATTGTGTCTGTGTATCTGTAAACACGATAACTAAAGTACCGTTACAGCTAGGTTGACGAAATTTTATGTATAAGTATTTTATCAAATGTGTAGTTCTGTTTCAACTTTCAATATGTTATGTTTACCGGAAGTGGCACTTATTCGACTAAAAAAACCTATAACTTGAGTACCGTTTTAGTTAGACGAAATTTTACTTAAAAGTAAGATATTCAATTCTGTAAATTCTGTCAAATTTTCAGAGATTTTTTTCAATGACCATGGTAGTACTTTATTCTATTTCCGATTTCTCAACAAAAAAAAAAATTAAATAAATAGCATAAGTATTTTTTTAAAAATTGTTTTAAAAAAAACGTGTCTCTATCTCGACTGCAGTAGAGTTGTGTTTCCCATTAGTTTTATCTAAAAAATATTCGAGAAAGTTTAGGGGAGATCACTCCCGCTTTATTTAATAAAATCAGCATGGTATTGTTTAGATTGGCAGAGTTGAAGAAGTTTAAATGAGCTCACATTAAATCTCCTTCCATCTCCCTAGGGTACATATGATGCCATAGTCCAAGTCTGGAACCAAGTTGGCCAGGAAATGTTTTGTCTCAACATCACCGCGGAGGTGCAAGAGGTCTACAGCGAGATGGTCAACGACATAATGCATTAGAGGGTTAATGATATCATGCATTAGAGGGTTAATGATAACATGCATTAGAGGGTTAATGACATCATGCATTAGAGGGTTAATGATATCTTACATTAGATGGGTAATGATATCTTACATTAGATGAGTAATGATATCTTACATTAGATGGGTAATGATATCATGCATTAGAGGGTTAATGATATCATCGTGAGCTTGAGGGTTGATGTCTTGAGTTAGATGGTTAATGTCAGCTTGAATTAAAGGGTTAACAACATCTTACACTAGAGGGTTAACGACTTCATGCGCTAGATGGTTAATAAAATCTTGAATTAGAGGGGTTGAAGACATCGTGCACTAGAGGGTGAATGATACCATGTGTTAGAGTGTGAAAGAACTGCTCAGAGAGTCAATGTCATCTTACTCAAACAATCATCAAAAGAATGTAAAGACACAGCAACCAATAGCACATTTACATTTATTAAAGAATAAAGATTTTTTTTTTGTTTTCAGAAATTACTAAATTTTTTCTTTAAAAAAAAGGAGGGGGGGGGTGGGGTTGGGTGGGATTAAAGAAATTTTAAAAAATATTTTTAGAAATTTTCTTCTTAGATCTGTTTTAGAATCAAGCTTAGATTGCTAAACATGTCTAATTCAATTTTATTTAAATGTCAACTCGGGCAAAAGTCCATTCCGGGGAAACGGCTTTCCGGAAAACGGCATTGGGGCAAGTGTCTTTCGAGAATTTGTCGTAGACCCCTCTCAAGACCATGATTTTTTTGTTTCTTTACAACCGATGGAACCTTTCTTTTTTAAGAAAGTCACCACACCCATCAGTACACCACAGAATGACTTACAGATATACACACTAAATGTTAAACACACATATGAAGCGATATTTTTGAGAATATTATAAAATAATGACGCCGTGTTTTGCTTTGCATATACCAATCGCGGTATGTAATGCATAACATTTGTTTGTAATTGAAATATAGTTCACTCTTATTTTGATTTGGTCAATACAAAACTGGAACTTTCCTCGACTGCGAACTTTTGTACCCAAAGTAGGACCAAATAATCACACGTCTCTGCACATCATGCGAGAAGAGGTTACAGAAACTTTGGGATAAACACTTGAGAAAAGGAATAATAAAAATATTAAATAAAAAGTACATATAATTTAATATTTTTTTTGACATTTTTGTTTGTTCCCTACTCAAATTAGAATATGTAATTTTATCAATTGAGCTTTTAAATTAAATTTCAATTAAACAAAGCTGTTTTTGTTAAATCTGGATAAATGTGAGTTAAACCACGTGACAGCTCGAGTTGTCACTCACCACTAGATGATGGTTAAGATCGATGTGGACTAGCTATTAATCTGATGTCCATGATGAGCCACGATAGGATTAGATAAACTTTCACAATTGTTTTTCAGACTTTAGAATTAAATAATGAGTTATAGCAAAAACATACCAAACAACTTAAAAGCTTAGATAAAAAAAGCAAAAAAAAAAAATATTAGGTGGCTAGCGATGGAAATTGCTAACACATGAACACAACAGGGCGGATCACAAAGCAGCGATCACTGCATCGAGTACACTAATTGCAGTGGTTAACTACGCACCAAGTGTCACCTTAGTAAATTAGAGGCCTGTCTTATCTTATTTTTTTGCAACACCCACCTCTATAACATGAACATAATTAAGAAAACTTAAGAAACTTTTCGCGAGATCTGGCGAAAGTGGGCGGCGTGGTCTAGCGGTAGAGCGCTATACTGCAAACACGAAAGTCTCGAGTTCGAAGCCTGGTTTAAGTTAGTGAAATGTTCCTGAATCCATCCAGCTCTGATTGATATCTAACTCACGTTAAGGAAAGTATAGGCGGTGGGTATAGTGCTGCCCACATTATCTCTTCATTTGCAGAGGTCACGAAACATATGAACTCTATCTCATCTGTCCAAATGGATTGCTAGGCCTCAAGAGGAATTTTTATGACAAGCAGAAGTGATTGCGCCTCTTGTCTCACAACAAAAAGTTGTCTCCACACTAAAAATGAATTAGCCTATGCATAAATATCCAGAGAAATTATAACAATACAAGTAGCATTGGTCGACCAATTTTTAGAACATGAAAAGTTTATGTAGGGTATATGATAAACGCGACCAAATTGTTAAGATAATGTTCATAAAACGTAATAGCTGATTATTGTGAGAAAAACTCTCAATTCAAATATGCTGTAGTAAAATTAGAATTGTAAGTTAAATTTGCATCAACAGTAATTCAACAGAAAACGTGGTTGTACATAAAACCTGTTTACCTGATTTAAACAAACAAAAATATGCGTACATTGGCTAGTAACATTTTCCTGGAAAGTTCACTATATTCTAACTACGTTTGTTTTCCAAATTTACGGACACAACAGTGTCTCCCATTAGGCGGGCAGGCCTCAACACGGCAAACTCTGACTATCTGGCTTTTGTATCGGTTTGATTACCATGTATCGGTCGCTTCTGTCCTATGGTTCTCACCAGGCTTATCTTCCACGCCACTGAACACAGGGTAATCACGTACCCCACCGTCCAGTACCCGGATCATCCGTACCTATGAGGCGACCGTCTTTTTTTCCAAGTAAAAGACGGCCTTACCTGCTAAGCAAAGACATGTCTTGCCTTCAGGAAATACAGACAATAGTCTAAGACATGTTATACCGTTGAGACGTCGGCCTAATTACAACGTTAACAATCATATATTAACTACACTGCACTCATATCCTTAGAATCAAATCAGCTTTCACGAATCTCCCGATATCTGTTAACTGCTGTCAACAAGTTTGAAACAATTTCACGTACAATTCATTGTCTGTTTAGCTCCAATAGTGACCTGGTGTTTACAGGATCAATCATGATGTAACAAGCTCTACGTGTCGAACTTCTTGATTATATATCGATAATCGCTAAGACTAAGATCAATGACTAGGGACGAACAAAATGTCTACGAAACAGAAATTAACAAGAGGCTGATCAAGTGTGGAAGTCCTAACCACATTGCACCAGAGTTTTCAAATTTTGTCAAAGTTCAACGTTAATGTACATTCGTTGGAAGCTTGGACGTTTAGCTAGAGTTCCAAGCGACATGCAAGCAAAGCTGGTCTTTACGCAAAAATACATCAGAAAGATTAGCCAGCCAGTTTATACTCGTGTAGTAGATCATATCGATTTATCATGCTGGCTTCTTGTTTCAAGGACACTTGATACTATTGGCTTTATTTTTTTCAAATAAAAATAAAAATATCTATAACCAAACACTACGACTTGACATTTTAAAAGAAATGGTATTTACACGTCAATTATTAGAAGAGATTATAACATGTTTGACTAAAAAAAAAATATTTATCGAGACCATTCTTGAACAAATATATGCGTTACTCGGCATGAGTTAATGAGTACTCCAATTACTGTTACGTCATTATAAAATTAACAAAGCGAGGGTGCTTACATATTTTGTGTGTGCTTAGACTAATTAAACGCTGATAACCCTTGTAATTATTTTTCAATTTCAATAGTGATTTAAAACAAAAAGTTCACCCATTCGGAAAAAAAAGTTACAAAATTATAAAACAAGTGTTTTTTTTGTTCTCCGCGAAATTTGACTGAGACTAGCCTGACTTAAATTGGTGATTTTTAGCTGTCATTGAACAACTTAAGTCACGGGTTTAAAGACCTGCATCTAGCAAGATTTTAGTTGATGTTTGTTGATTTACGAGTTTATAGATCTGTCTCGTGCAAGATTTTAGTTGATATGTGTTGATTCACACGTTGAAAGATCTATTCAAGCAAGATTTCTATTTAACACTGTCCACTGGATATTTTATTTCGATATTTGCTGTGAAATTACAATGAATATAAGAACATTTTTTAAATCTGCTCTAACTTTTGTATTGCACTGGTCTGTCTTCGTCGAGGATGAACTAGAGTGTAGATTTTACAAACGAGGAGATAAAATTGATTTGATTGGTTCTATGTCACCAATTAAGTTTCATCACTTAGCTCCCTTGAATGTTTCTTTACCATAATTAACGTCGTTGTCTTTATTAAAGAAATTTAGAAACTATAATATTTTAAATATAATAAAATTGAAAAAAAAAAATACGCCATGCCTGTTGGTAAATTACGCGTGCTTAATTGGATTAAAATAGACCGCTTTTTTGTAATTTGATGGTTATTATTTTTTATCGTTTTTTTTTTCTCCAGTTTATTAATTCTTAAAACAATTGTTTCCTGGTTTATTGACGTTTTAAAATGGCGTCAAATAAATCGACGGGGGTAGAAGATGAGTCCGACAGTGACGTCATTGGATCCATGTCAGACGAAACTTTCTTCCAGTTTATTTTCATCAGCCTGGTCCTTGTACCAGCTGTGGTCAGCACCCTCGGCATCATCTTTAACATCATCAACATCGTCGTCTTTGTTAAAATGGGATTTTCCGAAACTATAAATATCTCGCTTCTGGGACTGGCTGTAGCAGACGTGGGGGTTCTCCTGACGATGGTTGGGTTCAGCGTCATCTACAACCCCATGTTGATGACGTCAGTGGCCGACATGGACGTCATCAATGCTGTCAACTACGTTGCTCTAGGCTGGCCGCACGTCCTGTTTAGCCGAATCGTCGCCTGCTTGACCACCTACATTACGTTCGAAAGATTTCTGTGTGTCGTCATGCCTCTAAAGGTCAAGGCTATCATCACGCCTACTAAAACACTCACTGTCGTCATAGGAATCTACAGCTTTATAATCCTCGGGTTTGTCCCTGCCTTCATTGCTAACCAAATAGGGCCCAGATTTAACCCGCAGTTAAACCAAACAACCATAGGGATAATTTTAGCGCCTAACGCTAATCTTCTAGAAGACATAAGCCTAACCATCTCAATTTTCATACAAATCTCTTCCTTTATCTTAATCGTTATCTTCACCACTGGACTAATCCAAGCATTTATTCGAAATCTTAACTGGCGTAACCAATCATCATCTTCTAAAAATAAATCTTCATCACGAGACAAAGTCTTGATCAAGATGGTTCTATTTATATCTGTCGTCTACATCGCCTGTTCGTTCCCGGATGTGGCTGGGACGGTCGCCGTGTTGTTCGTCAAGGACTTCAGCGTCAAGGGGAGAGAACGGAACGCTTTCGTGTCGGTTTTTTCTGTTTTCTTCAACATCAGTTCACTACACTCGACGGCTAGTCTGTTTATCTATGTGAGGATGAGCTCCAAGTTTCAGCAAAAATTTTTGGCGGTTTTTAAATTCAGATAAACTCTAATATCTTGAAAACTTTTCGTAATTGCTATAGGGCTTGTAAGTAGGTCACCAACTTCTTATCATACTAGCCAGCAAGTATTTTTCAAACCAATTGTGAATATGTTTATTAAATCGGTTAAAAAATAAAAGTTACTTACGCTATTGTTAAGTTATTTAAAATAGTAAAAAGTGATAATGATACTTTGAGAATTTACCTGACCCTGGCTAACGAGATTTCAAATATTAAGTAAGAGAAGCAAAGAGACTTACAAGCCCTATAGAACAATTTTAAAAATCTGGAGCCGTTACTTCCCCCGATTAGATCGGCCAATCTTCCCCTCTCCTCCGTCATCCCCCCCCCCCCCCATCTCCGTCTAATCTCATAGAATTAGGCAATCTGAGAAATTAGAAGAGATGACACAAACTAAAATATGACCAAACAACCAGATATGACCCTACAGAAATTTTATGACATCACACACAGATCTGATCAACAGAAAATAATCCAAGCTGTTAAAATATCATGTTCATGCCTTCTTTACTCTGTGTAGTATTTGTGTTAAGACTAAAATTTACCTTGTAAAATATTATTTTTCAAGAAAATATTTATAGCTATTTATTTCTTCTTCAGTTAACCCACTTTCTTGAAAACATTTAAAGCTATTTATTACTTCTTCAGTTAACCTACTTTCTTGAAAGCATTTAAAGCTATTTATTTCTTCTTCAGCTAACCTACTTTCTTGAAAACATTTAAAGCTATTTATTTCTTCTTCAGTTAACTTACTTTCTTGAAAACATTTAAAGCTATTTATTTCTTCTTAAGTTAACCTACTTTCTTGAAAACATTTAAAGCTATTTATTTCTTCTTAAGTTAACCTACTTTGTAAAAATAAATAAAACGTCACCTGTGGAACACGATTGTTTTATTTAATCTTTTTTTGTTATTCTGTGTTCTTAATTTTAGTGTTGGAAGGGTTTCCCTCCAACACAATTAAGTATACGTGTCAACTGATAATGCGCCATTTAGACTCCGATTTCAGTGGCGTAAGCTGTTACGTTACGAAACAGCTATTGGTGAAGGTGGACTTGTGTTGATTTCTATTATTACATAAACGTCAAACACTCTGGGTCGCAGTCTCTAGAACTATCATGTTTACTATTGTATACCATTGTGCAGATTATTACTTGTTGTTCTTCGTTACGATTAATAGTATCGCGTAAAGATATTCTAGAATAATCTGAAAGGCTGAATAAAAGCCAAGGGGGATAGCCGACTAAGTTTAGTTCAGTTTAAAGATATGGTGGAATTGGTGGGTGGGATAAACGTAGGTAGTTATCTTACAGGCCTTTGTAGTACCAGAGGCGTAGCTAAGGGAGTGCGGGTGGGGTGGACGCCCCGGGTGGAGACCCTAAGAGGCGACAAACTGGGTAGGATAAAAATAAAACACTATTTTTTTTAGCTTTATGACTGCAATAGGCACAGCGAAAGTTCAGGAAATACACTATTAAATTGCTCTACTAATTGATTTAACTGTTGTTTATATCAATTGTATGACTTCGTTATGAAAGCGCCCCATTACAAACCATTTCCAAAAGAGGGGTGAGTGGGGCGCTTTTTAGCCAACGAGAATAACTTTATTTTAATACCAGGAAGGGGGGGGGGGGATTTGGTATTTCGCCCAGGGCGCCGAAATGGGTCGCGACGTCTCTGTAAAGTACGACCAGATGAGCAATTGAAGGAAGTAAGAGACACATGAACTTTTGTGGGGATGGACAGAACATGTGCAAATATAAAGCAAAGAGCAAAAGTCTTACAGTTAAGAAAATATAACGTAAGACAGTTACGAAAAGATAACCTAAGTAATACAGTAAAGAAAAAATATCTCAAGTCATACAGTTAAGGGTAAATGCTCATATTGTTTTTATTTTTTTTTTACAATTTAAGATCTAATTTAAGTTCCAAGCGCAGGCATTGTTTACATGTAAATAAATCAGTTTTAGAAAACAAGGTCACTCGTCTAAGAATATAGGATTGGTAACGCATTGATGAAACGCTTCTTATAGTACATATTATATATATATATATAGTAGCTGCATACCCATGCTTCGCCACCGTAAATCTTTTTTAAATGTACCAACTTGGGAACAGAACAACACAAACACAACACAAATACAACACAAACACAAAAGAAAACACAAACCCAAAAGAAAAAAACAAACCCAAAAAAAAAACACAAATCCAAAATAAAAACACAGACACAAAGAAAAGATAAACATAACACAAACACAAAAGAAAATACAAACAGAAAAGAAAACACAATCACAATGTAAACAAACACAATGCAAATACATACGAAAACACAAACGCAACACATTAACACAAAAGAAAAAACAAACGCAAATAAAAACACAAATGAAAACATCAACACTCATAACATAAACACAACTTAAATGCAAACATAAACGCATAGTGCTCACAGTCTAGCCCGTGGTGCCAAACCGCACCCTGCTCGAGCACCTACCATATTGCACTTTATCAATTCATGCATTTTTTTCAGTACTTTAAATTTTAAAAAATTAAAATAGAGTTTCATGACTAAAATCATTGCACACCTAATGAAGGTGATGACGCGTCTATAACAGTGCGGAATAGCTTATTAAAAATTATAATTAGTAAAAAGGACATTTAGTGAATAAAATAAATAAAAGATAGCCTTTTATCAATCAATGCTAATTATGATATTCCAACAATAATGTCTTCTTACAATAATGTCCTCTGCAGATTTGCATTCACATTGGGCTAATTATATTACTGCAACAATAATTCCTTCTAGGAGTTCCGTAGATTTTGGAATCACATTTGTTAAAAATTAGCGTGCGTTGAATTTATTTTTAAATTACCTCCCTTGGAAAATTACAAAACAGTTTTATTAATTCTTTTTTTCGAGCCTATAATTATAAATATATTATTTTCTAGGAAAATTATAGTTGACATTGATCCTTTTTATATGTTTTAGCAATATTTAATATTTTCTTCATGTTATGCGAAAGAGTAAAAACAGTGCAACTATAAAATAAATTTAAGTCGTTATATAAACAAACCATACACTATCACTTATTATAAGACAATGCGATGCACTGAAAAGCACTTCATAGTGCGATGTTTACTATTGTGGTTCCAAAATCTATAGCGATGACACGAGGAATGAAGGAAATATATATATGTATATGAGGAAATGCAGGGGGCTGGTGACTGGTGTGGATACATTCTTGTGGTCACAATAAGGGGTCAACAAAATGGGTCAACAATGGCTCAGCAATAGAGGTTACACAAAGGGTCACACTAATGGTATTAATGGAGGGGTCACAAAAAAGGGTCAACAACATGAATCACATAAAGATCCACCAATATGGGGGTCACTAAACCTGGTTCCGACAAGACGATAATACATGACGATAATACATTCCACCCTCCCCACCCCTATATTGGAAAAATCCAAAGCGCTACGCTTCACTTTCTCTAATCATTGCACCCTAGAAGATAAATAGTGTGATAAACATATGGTAGACCACTCAGCAGGAATGAAAGTCCTTGTTTTTAGTTTAAAAAAATACTATAACTGTATATTTGAAAATACAGATCAAATGTCTAATTATAGGTAACAACTATGATATTAATTCTAGCTAACGGAAATCCCATTTGATGCTTCTATATTAATAATAATTATTCCAAAGATTTGTGGATGTGTATTATAAATATTCACCACCTACTGTTTCATACACATACATACAACCATTACAAAATGCAAATACATTACAAAATAAAACTGAAAAAATACAAATTTCTCGAATTTTGCAAGAATGTGAAATCTAATTCTAAAGAATGGTTGCTTTTTTTGGGTTGTATCTTTTTCAATAAAAAAAAAATATTATATAAAAGGCCCTCTGCTCCCGTCATTCAGTTTACGTGATTTACTTCCTGGATCAACCTTTACAGTCAGTTTGTCCTATATATACAGACTAGCACTGTGCAGACTAGACATTCACCGTGTGACACTGACACATACAATTCTTCTTAAATATATTTATAAAGGTAAGAATTATTTTCTTTAATTTGTTTTTCTCAACAATGTATCTGTTTTCCCCTGATAAACATTATTGAATTTTAAAATTCTAACCATTCCTAATTCTGTTTTCATAAATTATAATTTTACTTTATAACACGCATATAGCGATGTGCTATGGATATCCCTTTACATTTTTCAGACATTTATGTTTAAAAATTGAATGGATTATTTTGTCTGTTTTATAATTTTAAACATTATTTTAAACTCAAACTAATTAAAACTCGTGTGCTTATCCTACTACATATAAAACCCCACCCCTAACCTATAAAACACTTAGACAAAATGGATTTTTAAATCTTGGTCTCGGTAAAATTTAATTCGTTATACAATTGTAATGACTATTTTATCACATTATCTTAGCTGAACTTTTGTGAAGTTTATTGTATTCTAATCGATGAAACCGTCACGATACAGGATCAACATTGAGTATTAATCCATTTATAGTAACACATTTGGGTGTCTTTCTAAACAGTAAACTGATAAATGGCAGTAATGTGGAACGTTCTTCTAGTCATCTCCGTATTTGTGTTTTTCAAAATGTCCAGTTTTGTTGACAATGTCAAGGTCATGTCTATCTCGCCAAGTGAGATGGATCCATCAAAAGGTGTAGCTGTCAACTGTGGTGAGTGCTTGTTCATTACACCTGCAGATACAACAACACCTGCACCTGCACCTGCATCTGCACCTGCACCTATACCTGCACCTGCACCTGCACCTACACCTACACCTACACCTACACCTACACCTACACCTACACCTACACCTACACCTACACCTACACCTACACCTACACCTACACCTACACCTACACCTACACCTACACCTACACCTACACCTACACCTACAACTACAACTACAACTACAACTACAACTACACCTACACCTAAAACTACACCTACACCTACGCCTACGCCTACACCTACGCCTACACCTACACCTACACGTACGCCTACACCTACGCCTTCGCCTACACCCACACCCACACCCACATCTACACCCACAACCACACCCATACCCACATCTACACGCAGACTCATTACGCATACGCATACACAAAAGTAAATGAAATCATGTATGCGTTATTGGCAATAAATTAAGAATATTCAAAACTAAAATTATCCATAATGCTGTAATTTTGTCCTAATATAATTTGTCCTGAAATCTTTTGTCCGTGGGATCACTTGTCCTTTTTTTCTGTGATATTATGACCTAAGATTATTTGTTATGGAACCATGTATAATATTGTATATATATATATATATATATATATATATATATATATATATATATATATATATATATATATATATATATATATATATATATATACATAACTTTAGGTAAGGAGTCGATTAACTTCACATGGACACCAAAGGTACTACAGCCTTCCGGTTCTGTTGAAGTATATTTGCACTACAAATTCCGTAAGTTTTATTTTTTTATTATATAAAAGATGAAACTTGGTTTTAGAGATCGCATACATATTAAAACCTGAGAGCGCGATGGTTTATGATTTTTTTATAGAGCTATAAAATATAAAGCTATGAAATATAGAGCTATAAAATATAAAGCAATAAAATATTTTGTCTAGAGCTGCCGACCACAATCTTGTGTGTGCACATTTCGGGCAGTGTTTCTTCCAGACCTTTTTTCTCCGGGGGGGGGGGAGGGGGGGGGGGGGCTGGGGGGGTGTGACTTGAAATTTTCGGGGGGGGGGGGGCGGTAGACCGTCATCGGTTGGGGGGGCCTCTACCCCCTCCTCTCTCCCACCCCCCTCCCCGAAGAGATGCCTGGAATAACTCTGATTTCAGGTATATAGAATAATCAGATTTCGATGAATAGAAACAACTCATTCTCATTCTGTGAACACAACATTAGGCCTAAAATGAAGATGACAAGTATATTTGAATTAAACCAGCGCTAGAGCTTAATTACTGACTTTAGTTTGACTGTTCTTGTTGTTTATTAAATTTCAGGTAATTAGTAATATATATTTTATTTTCTGCCCCAGCTTTCAACATGAGTAGTGGGATTTTCAACACGAGCGTGTATTTACACGGGGAAGACACACCCTTTCTTGTCCTTGCTGACTGGTTTGATTGCGATACCATAAGGAAGTACATAAGCTTCTTACAATGTCCGTTTATTGGAGGAAGTAGGTCGAGTTTTATTATACTCTCTGGTATCCTATTTATCATATTGCCGAAAACATACTTAAAATGTATGGGCATTTGAAAGTTATGAGTGGTAAAAAAGGGGTGAATGTTAGACTTTATAAATTTGTTCTCTGAGCACATACAACAGTAATTCTCTATTTTTAGCTATAAAAGCCAAAACAACATCCTTGCAGTGACCAGAGGAAAATCGCACTCTATATATATATATATATATATATATATATATATATATATATATATATATATATATACAATATTTACATTTTATATTGTATTGCCATTGTCTACCGCATGTGAAGAATTGTATACATGTCTGTTTACTAACAGTAAACACGAGTATTATGCATCCTGATTCAGTGAATACCTTCACAAAAATTGAATTCCTTCAATTGCTGTTTTTTCTATGTCCCCTTTAGAATACAGTCCTTGGAGGAGTGAATGGTTTTATTGTATGATTTTAATTTTACACGTATGCTTCTATATAACGAGAAAAATGGCCCGTTGAGGAAGGGTACAACGGGCGCTAGGCTGATAGTGCTGTCTCTTTTCTCTAAACTAAAACCAACCCACCCCCCCACACACCACCCCCACCCTACCCCCCACCCCCCCACACCACCCCCACCCCCACCACACACCACACACCACCCCCACCCCTCACTCCCACACACCACCCCCCTCCACACACCGCCCCCCACCCCCCACCCCCCCAAAAAAAAAACATGGCTACCGTCCAATTCAACGAAATATAATTATATACTTTTTCCAGTGTCCGCCCCCTCCCAGAAAATTCTACCCCCGCCCCCGAAAATTTCAAGTACCCCCCACCCCTCTCCGGGGAGGAAAAAGTCTGAAAGAAACACTGAAACCAACCCACCCCCCCCACACACCACCCCCCCCCCCACACACCACCCCCACCCCCCCCCCACACCACCCCCACCCCACCCCACACCACCCCTCCCCACCCCTCCACCACCCCCACCACCCAAAAAAGCATGTCTACCGTCCCATTCAACGAAATATAATTATATACTTTTTCCAGTGTCCGCCCCCTCCCAGAAAATTCTACCCCCGCCCCCGAAAATTTCAAGTACCCCCACCCCTCTCCGGGGAGGAAAAAGTCTGAAAGAAACACTGAAACCAACCCACCCCCCCACACACCACCCCCCCACCCCCACACACCCCCCCACCCCTCCACACCCCCCCCCCCCCCCCCCCCCCCCCAAAAAAAACATGTCTACCGTCCCATTGCAAGAAAACCACTTTTTAGATTAGACACATTAATTAGGCGGTAATTTTATTATAGAGTATCGATGAGGAAATTTCTTTTGAGTTGGGGAGGGGGGGGGGGGGGCTCAGACGTTCTTACGCGGGGGGTGGGGCTTCGCCCCTACCCGAAGAATTGTATGCAAGAAAATCTTCACGCAAACCATTTAGATTAGACAACATTTCCTTTTTTTCAATGTAGAACCAATGACGTCATTACATTACTGTGTGCACTCTCTGGTTTGAGATTATGTTCTACTCTACGCTAAATGTGTCGACGTCATATTTCGTTTTTCGAATTACTGTGCATGTTTTTATTTTGCTTGTGTTTTCTCTAGAGCGTTCTTGTCAGACAGAGCGTTCTTGTCAGACAGAGCGTTCTTGACAGACAGCGAAACTATTATATAGAATAGAGGGGAAAGGGTGTGTGCGTGTGGAATAGGAAATGAAATAAATTCGTGCCTACCACACGTTAGGAAAGACATACACAAATTTGAAAAAAAAAAAAAATTTGCAAAGCATGCTATGAATATTTTTTTTTTAAATAAACGAACAGTTTACAACTAAAACACATGACTTGTAACACATTTGTTGTTGATTTTTCAGCGAAAAGTATGTTACAGGAACCCTTCTCTAATCTACACTTCTTGATTCTGTACCAGGTAAGTTTGACATTGGTATTAGGGCAATCTGAACGTATTGGTCGAATGTCTATCTGAACATATTGGTCGAATGTCTATCTGAACGTATTGGTCGAATGTCTATCAGAACATATAGGTCGAATGTCTATCTGAACGTATTCGTCGAATGTCTATCTGAACGTATTGGTCGAATGTCTATCAGAACGTATTGGTCGAATGTCTATCTGAACGTATTGGTCGAATGTCTATCAGAACATATAGGTCGAATGTCTATCTGAACGTATTCGTCGAATGTCTATCTGAACGTATAGGTCGAATGTCTATCTGAACGTATTCGTCGAATGTCTATCTGAACGTATTGGTCGAATGTCTATCTGAACATATTGGTCGAATGTCTATCTGAACGTATTGGTCGAATGTCTATCTGAACGTATTGGTCGAATGTCTATCTGAACATATTGGTCGAATGTCTATCTGAACGAATTGGTCGAATGTCTATCTGAACGTATTGGTCGAATGTCTATCTGAACGTATTGGTCGAATGTCTATCTGAACGTATTGGTCGAATGTCTATCTGAACGTATTGGTCGAATGTCTATCTAAGCATAATGGTCGTATGAAAATATAGTGGTTACGTCATTCAATATACTTTGCTTCCCCCTTCCCCCATTCCCTCACATGCCCTTAGATACAACAAGACCGTACCCCCTTCCCCCATACCCTCAAATGCCCTCAGATACAACAAGACATTACCCCCTTCCCCCCTCACAATTCCTTAGATACAACAAGACCTTACCCCCTTCCCAACACGCCTTCAACACCACACATATCCTGTTCTAAACCCTGCCGACTTGCCAGTTTTAGTGTCCATCCACGCATTACAAAATGATGTGTGTAACGCACAGCAGCCATTCTACGCCTTTATAGGATTTTCACACTTGTATTCACAAAGTAAACACCAGTTAGATCACGTAACGTATTTGACTCCGCGAAGCTGAAGACAAAATTTGAATAGAGACCAAAGCGTTTACTTTATGGTGGCTTCTGACTCTGTTAATTTAAGCAGACAAGGTTGTGTGCATTGCTACTTATCAGTATAGGTTACTTTATCATGTTGTGCTTTACTGATGAGAGGTAGGCAGAGGCGTAGCGAGGGGGGTACATATGTCCCCGGGCGCCGACCTTAGGGGCGCCAAAATGGGTTGGAAAAACTAATTAAAATCTCATTTTAGCTGCAGTTTTGCATTTTAAATATAAAAAATATATGGGGGGGGGGGTGCAAATGGAAAGTTTGAGGGGTGGGTGGGGTGCAAATTGAAAATTGAAAGGTTGTTCCCTAGAGGCGCCAAATTGAAAGTTTGTCCCCGGGCGCCGGGAAGGGTCGCTACGCCCCTGGAGGCAGGGAGAGGTATGAGAGATAGAGAGACAGAGGGAGAGAGAGAGAGAGCAGTGTTTCTTCCAGACTTTTTTCTCCAGGGGGGGCACTTGAGATTTTCGGGGGGGGGGGGGGCGGACTAAAATTTCCGTGGGGGAGGGACACTTTTAATAGTATATATTTTCTATATAAATTCCATATCGTTGGGGGGAGGGGGGGAGACTTTCTTTTGGGGAAGGGGGGGGGGGTGGCTCCGACTCCGCCGAAGAGATGCCTGGAAGAAACACTGAGAGAGAGAGAGAGAGGGAGGGAGGGCAGTAGTTTGTGGATGACAGACTCGAAACGTACAACTAGAAATTAGACTAGAGCTATGCCACTAGGTTTTAATAATATATCACCGACGTCTACGTCAGAGTTCTGTTCGGAAAATATGAGGGGGCGGGGGGTTGTTGAGGTGTGCTTGGAGGTCAAATGATGTCACGAAAAAAAAAACGTGTTTCTTCTCCCTAGGGTACCTATGACGTCATAGTCCAAGTCTGGAACCAAGTTGGCCAGGAAATGTTCTGTCTCAACATCACCGCGGAGGTGCAAGAGGTCTACAGTGAGATGGTCAGCGGCTTCATGCGCTAGAGGGTTAATGATATCATGCGCTAGAGGGTTAATGATATCATGCATTAGAGGGTTAATGATATCATGCGTTAGAGGGTTAATAATATCATGCATTAGAGGGTTAATGATATCATGCATTAGATGGTTAATGATATCATGCATTAGAGGGTTAATGATATGCATTAGAGGGTTAATGATATCTTACATTAGATGGGTAATGATATCTTACATTAGATGGGTAATGATATCTTACATTAGATGGGTACTGATATCTTACATTCGATGGGTAATGATATCTTGCATTAGAGTGTTAACGACGTTTAACCAGATGGTTAATAACATCATGCACTTAGAGGGTTAGTGATATTTTGCATTAGAGGGTTAATGATATTTTGTATTAGAGAGTTAACGATATTGAACCAGAGGGTTAATGAAATATTGCACTAGAGGTAAATGTCGTCTTGCACTAGAGGGTTAATGACGTCTTGCAATAGAGTGTCAAGGAGTCTTGCAGTAGAGGGTTAATGATATCTTGCACTAGAGGGTTATTGCACCAACGCTTTAAAGGGCTATAGCCCTATTATTTAATATTTGTTGATTAATTAAAGGATTACTTACAAGTGTTGTGAATGGCTAAGAACGATGATATTATGATATCGGCGTACACATGCATGTTTATGACATTTACATTGTATAGACTAGTTTCGTTACTTTGTTTTAAGTAATATAAATATTTATCTTGTTCAATTTTTAACAATAATATGTGATTATATTGCATTGTCTATTTTGTAAAAAACTGTATTGTATCTCAGCTTTTTTTTCTTACCTTGTTATTAAGCAGGGGCGTAGTGAGAAGGGGGTGGGGGCGGGGGGTGCGGACCGCACCGGGTGACACCATTTAGGGGGGGGGGGGGTGACACCAAGGCAAAAAATAGCAAAATATATGGAGAAAAAGTTGAGGGGGGGGGGGGTGCAAAACGAAAGTTTGAGGGGGGGGGGGGGTGCAAATCGAAAATTTGAAAGTTTGTCCCCGTGAAGGGTCGCTACGCATCTAGGGGGGGGGGGGGGGGTGACACCATTAAGT